TATCTCCATGATGAGATCATTCGTTATGGAAGATGAATTCCTGAATTTCTTTTTTGAATTGAAAGATGAATGCCTGATTCTTTTGTTGGAATTGAAAGATGAATTCATGATTCTTTTTTTTGAACTGAAAGATGAATACATGATTGCGGAGAAAGAGATATGTGTCAAAACTTATGTATCAAGTAAGCCCTAGAAAAACCAATTAACAAAAGACGTAGAGAAACCTAGCAATACGAGACCTAGCTACCATTATATATTTCGTGTATTTATTTCCGGATTGTAGTCGGTTAAGTAAAACAAAAATGGGCTAATTTTAACCTTCAAGTGGGCCACTAGCAATAAGAGATCTTCTTTCTTGGTTTGGAGTTTGAGCCTTTGATCAAAAAGAATGAATCAGTGTGATGGAAGAGAAAAACAGCTGCTCTATCGGAACCAATCCCATTATCACTAACTTCGCTAGCTTTCACTCCACAGAACCATTCCTCGATTGTTTTTTCACTAACGCAGCCAACACATTCTCTTAATTTATATGCAAATATCTATAAACCTTGTTTTTGATAAATTGATGAGAGTAAAAACACAAAGGTGTTTAGGAAGAAGTATATTAGACTCTCATAAGAATAAATTTATAAATTACATTCTCTTATATAGAGATGAGATTTCCTAATCTAAGATAAATATAAATGTAAATAATATATTTAAGATAAATGCAAATATTCCTAAACTAAGATATTATAATCTTCTAGATCCTTCTCGATCTTTCCGATTTCCATATTCATGTACATTCATCTCGACCGTCGATCTCGGTCGATCTCCGGTTCTCCCAATATGATAAGTTTGGAGGAAACCGTAGTAGTAGAATAGTTTCTCTCAATTTTATTCATTAGCCAATAGGCTTATTTATACAAATATCATAACTTGATTAGCAAGTTCTTTACATATTTGATAATAGGAAATCTACCTATAAGAATATATTATACAAATGTTAACTTTCCTTTCAAGTCGATCTCGTAATCCCCGAGATCTCCTAACACCCTCCCGCAAGCTCATACGTGTTAACACGTATGAGATTGGACAATCATCAAATCATCTTCACGGTCTTCATACCCACTATAGGGTCATCAATGGCGTTTATACCTCGCCATAAGGTCATCAATTCGGTGGAAAATACTGTAGTAGTTGTGTATCTCCATCGTCTTATGTCACCATGTGAATTGAACGAACTCATCAATTGGTTCATGCTCATAATTCACAGCAATATCATATCATCACCTCCATCGGATCGGTATATATCCGTTGGAGTTCTTCATATTTGTGGCTTCATCTTCACAAGAAAAAATCACCGTCTCCATAGCATCGTTGGAGTCGTTGACAAAATCTCTTGAAAATATCATAACCATCTTCATCAACGTTGCGAATATCATGTGAGAACCATCTCATCATAGAACGAACCAATCAAGTTCATGTTCATATCCATGCAACGCCAAATTCCGAAGTTATTAAAGTCACCAACATCATAGTCTTCATTGACTTTTTTCTTGTCACCAAATCTCTGTAACACGATCTTCTTCTTCTTTTTTTTTTTTTTTTTTTCTTTTTTTTTTTTTCATAACAAATAAAATAAAAATAATAGAAAATCAATGAAGTGTGTTTGATTTTCCTAAACAAAGAAACGAAGACTAAAAACTTTTAACGCGGAAGCTAACGTAAGAGAACCATAACCCACATGAATAGGATCAAGGCTCTGATACCATGATAAATATGGAGGAAACCTTAGTAGTGGAATAGTTTCTCTCAATTTTATTCATTAGCCAATAGGCTTATTTATACAAATATCATAACTTGATTAGCAAGTTCTTTACATATTTGATAATAGGAAATCTACCTATAAGAATATATTATACAAATGTTAACTTTCCTTTCAAGTCGATCTCGTAATCCCCGAGATCTCCTAACAGTTTTCTCGGCCCGTGGCAGCAAAGCAGAGATCTCTGCCTCCTCCAACATAGTACCTGAAGCATCCATGTGATCTTCCACTTCATAACCCTTTTTCAGCCTCCAAACTCTCACAGAAACAGAGCATAATCAACAATGTCTTTGAAAAGCTTGAAAGCATAATCACCGTCACCCTTGGCAGCAGCTAGCCGTGCCACTGCAGTGACGGAGGATTCATTAGGACTTATCCCTGAACTAGCCATACGGTCAAAAATTTGGAAGCCACGGTCGATGGCAAGGGTTTGAGGAGAGATGGGTCACTAATGGACGCGGATCAGAGGTAAAAAAGGGTTTGGAAGTGTTTCTGGCTGAGGCGGATGTCACTTGAAGTGATAACAAGTCTGCAATTGCAATTGGCAAGAATCCAGTGCAACAACCAAGCACATGTCTAAGTATCATTTTGTTCGAGAGGCAGAACACAAAGGTCCCATTCAACTCAAGTATAATGAAGGAGAAGTTCAAGTTGCAGACTGCTTACCAAAGCACTTGGCGTCACAAGATTTGAACAACTAAGGAAGAAGCTTGGAGTAAGAGAGAAACTCAATTAAGGGGGAGTGTTGATCGATAATTGAGTTTCTAATTATGTTAAGGTTTAATGTATTAAGAGTCATGATTCGTATAAGTTAGTTATTTGTCAAGAGTCAGATCATAAACAAAACAAGAGACACAACTCTTCATGTTGTTTTGTTTTTACTGTTTCAGGTCTATATTATAAAACAAACAAGATTCAACATCTAAGACAAGACCCATTGTTACAGAGAACCAAAGGTTTCAACATTTCAAAACTAAGCTAACAAGAACTTGCATAATTTAAGAACATGAAGACTGAGGCTAATATACACCAGGAATGGTACAACTGTAGGAATGTTTTCTTCAATGACAGTGAAAAATCACTGAACATTTTTACAAATCCCATTAAGTATTTGAGTCCACAGTGTCATCATGAAATATATTAGTCCCGTCACACAAAAGTGACAAACACAACAAGATGTTGACAAAAAAGAGAGGACAAATCTCATCCAGAAGAAACAATGTTGAAAGAGCAAATATACTCAGATTAAAGACAGAGAACTAAGTGAAACAACAAAACCATGTTCTTGAGACCAAACAAAATTAAGGTTGATAAAAAAAACGCATAGATAAGAGCACAGAAGGACATTCCGATTGCTTTCACCTAACCCCAATGATCGTCTCTATCCTTCATCTCCTTGTCCCTTCTGAGTCTGAGTCTGATTCTGAATCTGACTCTGACTCTGATTCTGAATATGAGTCTGAGTCTGATTCTGAATCTGATGGTTCATAATATTCTGGCTCCACCAATGGAGGATGGACTGACTTGAGTTGTTTTAAATCGTTAACATCAAGATCCTCTACGTGGTTTACAAAGGTGCAAACGCTACAAGTTTTCTTAAACGCTTCGCCAAAACCTTGGATTTCAACACGTTGGAGAGTGTTCCTTTCGGGATTGAAGTAGAAAACATAAAACGGTTGTTTCGATGTATACTTGCGCATCGAAAACACTATTTCACCCGAAGCAGTCGCTCCAGCAATGGAAAGGTGACGACGGAAGAACTTATCATCAGTCCAAGTGTAGGCATATTTAGACCATTTCTGTTTCTCAACATCCTCTAGAACCCACACACGCAACTCATTAGTGGCATCAACGTCTAGATTTTCCTCCAAATACTCATCGAGATCCTTCTGAATATTACACATCTCATAAATGTCGACATCATCCTCCCAATAAATCATAGCTAATTTGCCCTTGTAGTTTATCAATCGACAAAACCTTTCTACGTCAATATAGGTGAATGTCTCATACCGAACGTCAAAGCAAACTATCACATAATCAAGCGATCCTTGATAACTCTCAACTAAGAAATACAAAACCCCATTGATGCATATTCCATCACTCTTAATATCAGGTCGTGGTAAGGGACATTTGATCTTTCTCCATTCAAAATCTCCATCTCCAAATGTAAGTATTTTATTACGACCAGGACCAGTTGGATAAATAATGGACAAGGCCTTGTATTGCTTGCCAATCGGGTCAAACCCGAAAAAGCTATACGCCTTTCTGTAAGTATACCGATTAGGTAAGATCGCATACCGTCCTGTGTTGGGGTTACATATTACAGGTTTAGCCTGGTATCGATTACCATAGAGATAGATCAAACCAGAGGCGTAGCCAATTGAAAAATACTTTAACTCACTATAATAATTGATCCTCAAATTTTCTGGAGAGAACTTCACATGAAATTCAGCAGCTGCAACAAGAGTCGATGACGATTTCTCATATGGATTCTCAAGCTGAGGCGATGAGAAGAAGCTCCACACACAGTCTTCTTTCTCTGAGGTTCCGTTTTCTGCGATGGCGAATAAGAGGCGCGGCTTAGCTGAGGACTTGGTCATGAACAACTCCTTGGAAGATGGACTAGCAAACATTGATGCCCATCGCTTCGACACGCAACGAAACCTCGTCACTGACTTTGAAGGCAATCTCGACAATATCTCCATGATGAGATCAGTCGTTACTCGTTAAGGAAGATGAATTCATGATTGCGGCTCGAACGAAGACGTAGAAAACCCAACTAACAAAAGAGGTAAAGAAACCTAGCAATAAGAGACCAAGCCCATTAAGAAAAACAAAAATGGGCTAAATTTAACGTCAGAAACCTAGCAATAAGAGACCAAGCCCATTAATTCATGAATTACACATCAGAACAGATTCAAAGCAAGAACAATCACTCAAAACCCAAACGAAAGAGGCACTAATTGTGTTTCTTTAATTAAAGTAATGGGCTTTTATTACGCTAAAGCAAGCCACATGCTGAAAAAAAGCAAAAAGTTAAATGGAGATGCGGGGTATCGATCCCCGTACCTCTCGCATGCTAAGCGAGCGCTCTACCATCTGAGCTACATCCCCATTCATGTTGATTACTACATTGTACATATTATTTTCTCAACTTCAGAATGATCTTATAGGTTACCATATTAGAAAATCAGTATGATAAATTACATTATTTGTATACCACAAAAAATGGGGTTTATGAAAAGAGTGAATTGGGGAAAGGAAGACCAACACATATCCCTTAAAAACATTATTAACAGAGAAGAAGAAAAAGAACAAATAATGTGAAGAACTCTTTCTTCTACATCTAAATATCTAATAACCAATTCAAGGCAACGATGGTTTTATAATAGACTTCCTAATGTTTCTGAGAACGCTCCACATAAATGTAGATACAAAGAAGAGAGCAATACCAGCAACAATGGCTTGTTTCAAACCAAGGTTCACCAGCAAATTTACCAACAGTCCAGCCAACACTACGCCGCAGAAATTAGACGAAACAGCAGACCAAAACGGCATGTCGAGGATCGATGCTATTATAGCTCCTGTCCAAGCACCGGTTCCAGGGAATGGAACAGCTACAAAGAGCATTAGTCCTAACCATTGGAACTCTTCCACTGGCCCAGCTTTCTCTTTAGCTCTTTTGAATAGGATATCAAGTAATTTAGAAGCTGTTTGGCTCTTACCCGCCACGAAAGATGCAAACTTTTTGAGGTAAAGTACGATGAATGGAACCGGAACCATATTGCTGCAGAAAAACCCAAAATCAGTGTCACTTCTACTTGCTTACATAATGAAATCATATGAATAAGGATTGAACGATCCCCGTACCTCTCGCATGCTATATAAAGTTATATTTATAAATTCAACAAAATTGAACTTCAACACTTTGCTTTTTCCCCAGCTGAAATCTACTTTTATTTAGAGAAAAATTCATCAAATCTCAATTATAGGGTTTTGGAATTGGTATATATATATATATATATATTTTTAGTAATCTCCTCATCACGCGACCGCTGCGTAAAGGTATCTCCTCCACCACAATATGATTTCCTTTTGATTCGTTGGATTAGGTTTCGATTTCTAATCTGTGAACAGATCCTTGTGATTTCTAGGGTTTTTAGTCATATCCGCAATCTCCTCATCACGCGACCGCTGCGTTAAGGTATCTCCTCCACCACAATATGATTTCCTTTTGATTCGTTGGATTAGGTTTCGATTTCCAATCTGTCGTGTGGTTTTTGTGATTTCTAGGTCATATCCGATGGGTACAAATTCAGAGAAAACTCTTGCTCTTTCAGGTATTGTGACCTTTACGGTTGTTTATCTCAATTTTTAGTGTTTGAATTATTTAAGACTCTAAGTGTTTTCATATTTCCGCAGAACCGGAATCAGGCTTACGAATTCCTGCGCTCAACATGAATTTCAAATTTAATCCCTCAGACGTGGAGGACCTTGCCAAAGTAAATACCCTTTCTTTTTTTTGTTTTAGGCTATGATAATTGAATTTCTGTGGAATAAGGTTGGATTTTGTTTTTTTTTAGAAACCAAAGTTCCAGAAATTGCTTAAGAAATTACTGGCTAAAGAGCCTGATAATGACGACGAGTGGCAGAGATCTATTCCAGTTAAACTGTTAAAAGAACATATACCTGGGTTCGACCTAGAACAGTACATTGACGAAATTCGTGAGATGGAGAGGAAACCTGGATATATCAAAGGGAAGGAGAAGTTTTTTAACCGCTTTCAGGTGGTAGCTCTTTCGGTCTTTCCTTTGTTATTATTTATCCTTTACATTCACTGATTGCTTTTTTATTTCCTTGTTCCAGGATCCACCAATGTCTGTTTGTCCCGTTGACGTGAACAATCCAGCAGCACCGGACGCTTAGAGCTTTTACCGAGCTCATGATATCAATCACTGTTACAATTCTGGTTTCATGTTTTTCTCATGCTTGTAATAAATATTACTAAAACTTTATATTTTTTTTTTTCCCAGTTTGATTTAAGTGAACTTTTTAAACATATTCAGAACCCATAAACGATTTTGAAACTAATGTGATTTATAAACATAAGACAGCAGAACCTGTGGAACACTAATGTCAAATGTATGTATATAAACCTTTGGTTTGGTTCATGGGAAGTTCAGAGAAAATCCCTACTAGTTGTGTTTCCTCTAACCTTAAGCAGCAACTGGTTCAGTTATGTCTCTTTTGGTATATCCGCAGTGAATTGTGCTGTAAACTTACTAATATTTCTATCTTGGCTCATACACAATGTCAATTAGGTTCCTCTTCCATGTTTCATCTCCTTCAAAGTTAGACTAGAAGAAGTAGAATGCGGAGAAAAGTACAAAAATTGTAGAACACTATCTTTACTTAATCAATCAAGCAGGAGGTGAAGGAGGCGATGAATCTACGCGATGGTGGAAGAGCTTAGTTAATGCTCGACGTTCACAGTCCTGAAATGAAAAACCAAGTTGATTATGATTTATGTACTCATAAAATGAGACCGATTATTCAATCTCTAATATGATTTTTTATTTTTATTTTACCTTGAACATGTTTAGGCGTAAGGGTCTATCTGGATTCAGTCTCTGCAGTTTAAGGTATGTGTACGCAAAACTCAACTGATCTCGTGAGGTAAACCGATCAACTTCATTGAACCAAAGGCATGTGAAGAGGTTTGACATTGGTGTATGAGCCCTTACAATAAAAGAACCTTCAGGTACATCTAACACAACAAGACATCACACTCAATAAACATTAACAAACAAAACGAGTAAATGTGTATGGTGAGAGAGAAGTTAATGATTGATTGATTACTTACAACTTGGAAGAGGAGAATTAGGATCTGAAGGATCAAATTTCTTGAGTCCATCTGATCGATAGAACATAAACTGTTCATCGATTGCCGAGTGGTTGTATTTGTTCAGCCGTTTGTTCTGTAACACTTCATCCCAAACACAATGTCGGTCATAATGGTTCGAGATAGCGAATTCTGATTTTGTTCTCCATAAGAAGAAGTCAATTATCAGCATAGGATCTGTAGTGAGTCTCATCTTACTGTCTAGCCAAATCGAATACCTGAAACAAGAAATGAGGATAAGTATAAGATATCTGAGTCACTAATTCAAATCTCAGAGCTTGAGTACTAGCCAACTAACCTCACCTAGAAGAAGGAAAAAGGCGGTGTGACAGAAATTTCGGAACCTTTCCAGTCTTTCGCATATCAGTATAAGGCAAGTTGCTCACAACTACAGTTTTCCACAAACCAACAAATCCTTGCTTGTCTGGAACATGCCCTTCACTAGCAAGTTTCAATAGTGTTTGCTCATCAACGAACATCACAAAACAAACATTTCGCTTCGAGAATTCACTGATCTGAAGAAACAAACAAGCAAAATGAGAGCTCCACATGAATGATGAGGCTCACATATAGCCTTAATGCATTCTCGCGCAATAGATAGATAAAGTTTAAACCTTTTTGGTTGCAGGTCTCCTTAGAAAATCAGAGCTTCCAAAAATGCAAGAAGACACAGAGACTACACAGTTCTTCATATAGGCCCTATCCATTTCACTCAAATCAAATCCAGTACCTTGATGAAATCCATTAGTCCCTTTGACAAAACCACAGTGAATTGTCTGATTTATTGCAGAGAAAGATCTCTCTCTTTCCTTGAGTGTTTGATGACCTCCAAACCTAGGCTTATCATATGTCTCAGTCTCTACAAAGCCTAACGAAAACGGCGTAAAATTCAAATAATCCTGAGGCTCAAGTATGTGATCAACAGATTCAGCAAGTGGAACTTCACAAGGTAAATCTGCATTATATAAAAACAATTTAGCCTTAAATTAAACAAACCAACACTAACATTCACTGAAAATTTCTAGCAAAAATCCATACGCTTGGTTCTCTTCTTGCTTCCGGGTGGTCTTTCGATGTTGGATTTGTTTGATCCTATATCAATCTCTGATGAAACCAACATATGACTTTTCATGTAAGCTGCATTTGATTGAAAATCCAGTTAAAAACAATAGCTTTTCTAGTAGCTTTTTACACAAATACTTAAACTAAGACAACATAAGCTTACGATTTTGCTCAAAATGAGGTAATAACTCAGAACCTACACCAAATCCAAGAGTGTTTAATTAATCTCCAAAACTGAGAAGAAAACAAATAAAAAAGACATGTTTCTTAGTCCAAAACTTACCATGAAAGAGTAGTTTATGGCCAGAGAACATGCAAGAGAAGAAAAAGAGTGACACAAAGAACAAGAAGAAATGTGACAGCTTCAATTTCACTATCCGACCAAACTTTTTGCCTCTTCGAAGAAGTAAAAAAGAATTATCATTGTGACCAGATGGATTCAGATATGAAGAAGAAGAAACCACCGTACTTCTTCTCTCCGGTAACATTATCTAATCCCCAAACACTGCAAAATTCAGACCAAATCAAGATTTACATGTCCGAAAGAAGCTTAAGAAAATGAAACATAGACAAAATCCAAGATGCAGATTTGAAAGAATCTCTCACACAAATTCATGAAATTTTCGAGAATCAAGAACCGAGAAGACACCAGATTCGAGATTGGAAATAACAAAAACTCTTTACCTGAAGCGAAGATCTCTAGCTCACTATGAAACAAACCTGGTGGCGATTAAGAAACTGTATTTATTATCTGTTCTTTAAAATGTATTTATTCCATTTTTATTACAAAGTTAATTAATTATTGATTAATTTGTCCAAAGGCTAAAGAAAAGGGTTTGGTGTATTTGTCCCACATCGCTAAATTATGAATCGCTCACTCTTGGAGTTGGTGTATATAATAGAAGCTTGATGGACAAAACAATTCATACCTTTCTCGGCCTTTTGGCTAAGATCAAGTGTAGTATCTGTTCTTATCAGTTTAATATCTGATATGTGGGCCATCGGTCCACACGATATTAACTCTATTTTTTAAGGGAGAAAGCCCGTTAAGATAGCTTGCTATCTGGGCTTTCACGAGTCGCCCATGCGTTGCACTACTGCACGGGCCTGGCTCAACCCGCCAATTTTAAAGCCCAATATTTATCTCTTAAGCATATTTTAATTTTATTATCAAATACTTAGTTATTTTATTGACCACTCTTTGGGTGACACGTGTCGAGAAATTCCCACCCAAAATCAAATTCCAAAGGTAAAGTTTTTTACACGGCAGCGTCTTCTTGATCTCGCCGTCGATCGTCATCGATTATCACATTTGGTGATTCTCTTTGAGCGGTTTTAGATGAAGAAGCGATTTGATTTTGTTATGTGGTGCTTGCTCGTTTTGGGTTTAGGTCAGAGACACAAAGAAGAGATTTTGTTTCGATATTTTGATTTTGATTTCTAGATGCTTTGGAGAGAGAGAGATTGCAGACGAAGCTGGACTAGGACGAGAAGAATCTATTTTCCAAATGTAAACAATGGGTTCTTCAAAAAATAGTGTAGAGGTCATCATTGTTTCGATTTTGTTGGTTAATGTATATATCTGTGATCTTCTTGAAATGGCTTAGAATGATTTTGAGTTTATGGAACTTTGATGGTGCTACTTATATTGCCTGCTCTGTGAGGCCTCTTGTTTTCATTGTAATTCTGAAAGTTTGTGTTTTGGTGTGAGAAACACACTGATTTGAAGTGGGAAACGTTTTTACCGATTTCTGGAACCCATGGTTGGGACCATGACTGTGGATATGACGGCGTCAATGCAGAACACAGTCCTGCTGTAGCAAGCAGGTTCCCTGCCACAGCTACTGTTCAAGTCACCAAGAACAAGAAAGAGTCCAACATTCATCTGGACTCCTCATTGTCTGCTAAGCACGGCGAGAATGGATCCACCATGGCGCAGGGTTCGATATACAGAATGTAGGCAAGCAGCTGGCATATGTGGTCAGAGGAGAAACCAAGTTCAAGAACTTGAGGAACAACAAGACAACTGTTGGAGGGTCAGTGACATTCTTGGGAGAGAACATCGTGTTGGAGATACAATCCAAGTCCCACATCGGAAGTTTGATGGGACAATCAATAATATATAAAGGGTTAGGGCCAATCCACTAATTGCCAATTGGTTTTTAGTTGGAAGCCCATAATTAGCCCAAATTTAACATGGTATCAGAGCCCAAGGTTCAAATTCTGGTGGACCTAGAAAAGTGGATACGGTCATACCTCAAACCCGAGTAATGGGGGCCCGAGAAAGGGGCTTATTATCGGTCCGAGTGAGGGATCGAGGAGGTGTGTTAAGATCCATGTGGTCCTTGGATTGAAGGGGAGATTGTTGGAGATACAATCCAAGTCCCACATCGAAAGTTTGATGGGACAATCAATAATATATAAAGGGTTAGGGCCAATCCACTAATTGCCAATTGGTTTTTAGTTGGAAGCCCATAATTAGCCCAAATTTAACACATCGCCACTGGTTTAGGATTTATTTCTATCTCTCTTTCTCTGTCTTGTGTCTTTTCCCGTTGCTGAGTCAAGAGAAGATCCGTGATTGATGGTGAAAAGCACAAACTTGCTGCTCTAACCGTTTCTGTAATTTATAGAGACGTGCATAGGTCCCGAAATCTCACGTGTTTTGTTTTGTTTTGTCTGATTTGAAGCTAACGTCTATATTTTACTTTGTCATTTTCAGACCTGACAAAGCGATGAGAACGTTTCTCCTGGGGAAAGAAGTTGACTTAAGACGACTTTGGACGTTCTTATCCTTAAAGTTTGGCGGATACTGAGTAATCATCGCTCTTGATTATAGACGTTAATAGAGACGTTAGCTTCAAATCATTCTAAAGTAAGATTTCCACAATACTAAAGTCCTTACTATTCTCACTAATCAGTAACTCCATAGTTAAGAAGACATTGCAATCTTTTCATTAGTTAACTAATTGATTTGTTTTAGAAGAGCTTGAAGATTAGATAAATAGTTTTTGCCAAAGATACTCTCAAGAACATACGACACACACATAACTGATACAAAAACAGAGGATAGCAACAGAAATTTAAACAAAGTACTGAGAAATTGGACAATGAGGCAGCCGCGCTTGTTTAACCATTTTTTCGTTTTAGAAATTTCTCACTGAACCTTCTGGGAAGCTGGCCTGTTGGTGATCTCAGCGACCCACTCGTTGACACGTGGACGCTCGGTGAAGAGCTTCTTGGTGGGAGTTCCGAGCAGGTATTGAATCACGGGAATGTGGTGAAGATCGGTCAAAGTGAAAGTGTCACCAGCCAAATACTTGAACTCCTTGAGCCTAGCCTCGTAGACATCAAGGACCTTGGCCAACTTAGCTTCTTCTTCTGCAACAACGGCTTGGTCTGTGGTCAAGCCATACATGAGCTTGTATACTTGTTCCCAAGCAAGCTTTGAAGCCACGGGATCGAACTGATGAGCTTCTACTTCCATTCCAATGACCATGATTGCATACTGAGCTATGTTCTTGGAGTCAGCTTGGAGAAGGTTGGTTCCTTGGTTTTCGTATCGGTGAGCTATGTACTGAGTAATCGCTCTTGATTCTGCACAAAAAGATCCAATTCATGTTAGTGATTTTGCCTTCTAATGCAGATTTGAGATTGAAGATGATGCATGGAAAAGGTTCATACCGAAGAGCTTGAGGTCTCCATCTTCAAAGGCTGGAACTTGACCAAAAGGCTGAAGAGGAAAGAAGTTCAAACACAAAACATTTAAGAAAGATTCCGACCAGTTACATCAAAACAGTTGGTCTCTTGTCTTACAAGAAGACATAGATAGATAAATATACTTACGTTGCGGGAGAGGAAAGGCTCCTTCTTGTGCTCACCGTCTTTGAGTTCAACATGAACGAGCTCAAAGTCGAGGTTTTTCTCGTGGAGAGCGATAAGGACTCTCCTGGTTGAAGTGGAAGCTGGGTGTCCGAAAACTTTGATACCTGCCATTGAGTTGGTTACTAAGAAACTCTTTGAAGACAGAGAAAAAGAGACAAAAGAGTAAGAGATGTGATGTTTGATGTTGAAGGTGGAGGTCATGAAATAACACATAACTAGTGATTGTATTTATACAGAAGCATTTCTGCTTTATCATTATAATATTATCTAACAGATAATAACGCCTCTACAAGACGGTCGCAACCAATATTGACTAGTCTTCTTCTTGGTGGATTTTCCAAAGCTAAATTGGATTGATTCACGTTTTGAAGATTTGTTTTTACACTGGTTATGAGATAAAGTTTTTAATAAAGCATTCAATGTATCAGAGAAAAGATTAAACAAGTGCGTAGTAGTAACGGCCAAATGACTCAAACAAATCCAACAACTCACTTCAATTCTAACTTACACTTAGTTAAACTAAACAACACAAAACACTTCTTTAGTTGGGCCTTAATCATTCTGCAGCCCACTAAAAAAACACTCAAGCCCAACTTCTTCTTGTTGACTTGTGCTTCTTCTCCTCTTGTGTCGTTGACTCCTCCACACGACAACTTCTTCTTCTCTTCGACGACTTCTTCGTCTTGCTCCTCCTTCGCCTTGCTTCTTCTTCTTCGACTAATGCTTCTATTCATATTGCAAGTTTAATGGAGGAATCAACCCTCAACATATATCAATCTCCGATGAAACCAACATGTGACTTTTCATGTAAGCTGCATTTGATTCAAAATCCACTTAATACAATAAAGTGTTTAATTAAGATAAAGTAAGCTTACGGTTTTGCTCAAAATAATGTAAGAACTCAGAACCTACACCAAATCCAAGTGTTTAATTAATTTCGAAAGAAGAAAAAAGAAAAACATTTTCTTAGTTCTCAAAGCTTACCATGAAAGAGTAGTTTATAGCCAGAGAACATTAAGAGATGAAAAAGAGTGACACAAAGAACAAGAACAAATGTGAGAGCTTCAATTTCACTATCCGACCAAACTTTTTGCCTCTCCGGTAACATTATTCCCAATCACTGCGAAAATTCAGACCAAATTCATTCTGAGAAAAGCTTTAGGATGCTTCCAAAAATCATTCTAATTCAAAACTACAACCAAATTCATGACGAAAAATCTCGCAGAAGAAAATGAAACATATATAAAATCCGAGATTTGTTCTTTAAAATGTATTTATTCCTTTTATTACAATGTTAATTAACTTAATTTAATAATGTTTAAATTGTTGATTAATTTGTCTGAGGGCTAAAGAAAAGGGTTTGGTGTTTTTGTCCCACATCGCTAAAGTATGAATAGCTCGCTCTTTGAGTTGGTGTATATAAGAGAAACTTGATGGTCCAAACAATTCATACCTTTCTCGGCCTTTTGGCTAAGATCAAGTGTAGTATCTGTTCTTATCAGTTTAATATCTGGTATGTGGGCCATCGGCTCACACGATATTAACTCTATTTTTTAAGGGAGAAAGCCCGTTAAGATAGCTTGCTATCTGAGCTTTTGCGAGTCGCCCATGCGTTGCACTACTGCACGGGCTTGGCTCAACCCGCCAATATTAAAGCCCAATATTGTTCTCTTTGCAATAGTCTAATTAATAAGATATTAACACTTAAATAGCTTAGATAATTCATATTATTGACCACTATTTGGGTGCCAGTGTCGAATATCACCAAAATCAAAATCCAATGGTGATATTTTTACAGAGATGCTGATGAAAACAAACTTAGATATCGTGTTACATGCTGCTAGAGATACCAATTTCAGAATACATATTTGCTGAGTGGAGTTATCGGTTTCACTTGGGGCACTTAAACATTAAACGTTACTTGGAAATCAGAGCATTGTGATTCGTATCTTTGTGAAGAGCGTGTGATCTTTCCTTTAAAGGTTTTTTTTTTTTTCATGTTATGATACACTTAGGGGTGCTTTAAAGAGATTTGATTTTCATTATGTTAGCATAAGATCATTATTTCTTTATCTCTGTGGAAGATCTTAGGAACTGACACATAGCTAGAGACAGTCAAGAATGTTACCATTATGTTGTCAGATATCAGATTGTAATTTCTAGTTTTCTACAAACATCATCTGTTCCTGAACCTATATGTTTGGGGTTTTTGTATTCTTTTGGTGACAGTAAGTAATGGAGATGCAATGGGCAACCACACAAGACTCTCTTCTCCTTCTCCTGTGGGCTCCTAGGGAACGAACCCCTTTCACATCAAGACAGTGAATGTTTCACCACAAACAATATGGAATTAAATAGAAACTACTCTCAGCCATTTTTTGTCATGTGGGATCGGAGTCTCGGTACCAACTTGCCTTTATTCACTTGACGAAAGAGCACGCGGATGCTTTGAGACAATGGCCAACCAAAGAATTCAAAGATGAGTAATCTTGTTTTGCCTTCTTAACATAAATGTCTTCTTGCTTTTGTTGTTCTTCTCTCCTCCACATATAGAAATTAAGTAGTTAGATGATTTGATTTTACTTCAATATTTTATATGAATATATACAAGTGATGGCTCAATTATTTTGAGAAGGATACAATACTTAATTATCTTCAAGATCTGTATGATTCTTTGTTTTAAGCCCATACTATATTAGCTTTGATGTCTGGGATCATCATCTTGGTTTCATTTCTTGAAATCTAATTAGCCCTTTTTGAAATAACTTAGAGAGAAAGTTCAGTGAACTGGATAAGATCATTTGGGGTAAATTCAATCATTTCCCTTATGAGTAGGCTACAGAGATATACATCTTCTTTGCATTTATTGTCTTAGTAAGCACTTTAGTTCTTTTCTCTCATATTTTCAACGAACAATTAAGGTTTTTGTCTACCTTACTTTTATTTCAGACATACATGGCCTTTAGATGAGTTTCAGGACCAGATCTTAGATATGTTAGGTAAAATGACATTTTCATTGATTTAAGTTTCCTCATTAATAGCTCTTTATGTCAATCTCTTGTACGTTTGATTTAACCCTTTGAAGCTAAGACAAAACTCATATCTCTCCCTCTTGAGACTAAATCCAAAACTTGGTGGGGCCAATTTTTGGAATGTCTCTCTGCTTATTTTGCTGAATTTGAGATCTGTGTTTTTCACTCTCTAATCATTTGTCACTCTTTGAGTAAGTTTTTCTTAGGTGCAAGAAGAGGTCTCTAAGAAACCCTTTAAAATTGATTTGATTTTCACATTGTGAACAAGAACTCAACAAGACATTATATAAGTTTATAAATCTTTCTCACTCAGTAGATATTATAGATAAAGAGAGATAAGAGATTGAAATCGTTCGCTTTTACTTTAGTGCAATCACTGACTATAAAGAAGAGATGATTGTGTGTGAGAAATCGAGCTGTTGCTGATCCTTCTTCGTGTTTCGAAACTCTTTGGTTTAGTAGTCTCCATTGGGAATCTTGGAACGTAACTCGGTGTTGTCTTATTCATGCTGCTTCTTCTGTCTAAATCACCAGAAACCATAACAGATTTATGACTCTTGCAGCTCATCAAGAAACCACTGCCTCCGTTGCTACTCGATTTCCGTCTCTGCGGTGCTGATTTAGCGGTAATAGGGATTCGAGGAATCTGAGAAGATCGGTTTCTTCTTACGGGACTTGTTGCACATTCTGACATAACAGAGAAATCTGCTGCACTTGCTGTCACTATACTCCATTCTACGCTTACTTCACTTGGCGCATAACACGTAGGTGAAGCCGGATCACTTCCTTGCCTTGTAAGAAAAGGTTTTGGGTTCCCTGTAAGACCCTCTATCTCGAATAGATCCGAGCTTGAATCACTCCCTTCACTCTTTGTGTCTTCCTCCTCTGTTCTTGATTTCCATGGGGGCAATGGGAGTTTCTTCTGAACAACAGTCGTATTCTTCTCAATAGTTACAGGAGATCCAAAAACGTCAAGAGACTTCCTCTGTGATAACTCCTCTTGCTTCTGAATCTTGATCAATTCTGTGTTCATATCCACAGAAGACCTCATCTGATTTTCGATCCTCCTCATTGTGATAACAGAGATATTCGGATCAGAGCTTCTCTTGACCGAGGTTTTCTCGTCCACATCTACTGAATTCCCATCAGAACAGGCGCATTTACACCCCAAATTTGCGAGAAAACTCTTCTTATTATTGCTCGCCTTTTGAATCTGACCATTACTGTTCTTCTTCTCCTTGAAGGAACTGTTGCAGCTATTCACCAGTTTGTTCTGAAGCAACACGCTCTGACTATTCCAGCTTGATTCAGACCGGACACTTGGAGTTCCGGTAGATTTCTTCGCGCTCTGCTTCGAATCGATGATGGTTCTCTCAACTTCTGGGTTTGTCAGAGATAGAACACTAGAACCTTGGTCTGAATCCATGTCTCCATTGAAGTACTTCTCAGCTCCAAACACACCAATCTCTGGATCTTCAGTAGCTTTCTTCACCATTTTCTTCTCATCGCCAAACTCTTGTTTTGGAATATTGATGCTCATGTTTAGGGGTTTGCTTTGTTCCATGAGCTTCTTGGTTGTGACAACAGCATCTTCCTTGCTGCTCAAGTAAGAAGAAGAAGAAGGGGAAGAGGAAGAAACATAGAGACTGTGACTGTTGTTGTTCTTCATGAAATCAAAAGATGTCTTTGGAGTTGAAGAAGAAGATGGTGTTAGTGTCACCATTTTTTTTTTTGGTGGCTTTATAATTTTTTCTCTTTATATTGCTTGTGTGTGGATATGTTGGAATTAGGGTATAAATAGAGAAACAAAACGAAATGTTTGATAGCTGTTTTTTTTTTTCTGAAGCTAAAGTGTTATGATCTGATCAATGTGAGTGGGTTCCAGTTTGAGTCATTGGCCAGTTGTTGTTGTTGTGTGAATTGATTTATTTTTCTATTTGGATAAAAATATTCGATGATAAATCTTTGCCAATCAATGGAAAATAATAGAAAAATAATGTTACCCCGTGACCACGAAAAAAAGGAATTATAATGACATGGTCTTAATTCGATTAGGACTTATTAATACAGTACTAGTAGTGTACTCACATTGCAACTGGATCTCTTAAATAGTTTTCTATCCTTTTACTTTTTTTATATTTCAGATTTCAGAAAGCTTTATTCGTTCAATATTCGTATTTTGTACGTAGACGTTAAGCACTACTATACGTTTTAAAGATTCCGATTTAAAACACATTTGCCACCATAATTTTGGGTGGATTTTCTTTCAATTTTTTTTTTTTTTTTGTCATTTACATCACAGCCAATAAATATGATAGACGTAGTTATTCTAAAACGGATAATACTGTATTCATCAGTTAAAAGCATAGTGATAAACTCGAATGCAAATAAACGATTGGCAATATAAACAACAACTAGTGTATACTAATGCACTACTATTGCAATCTGTTCGGACGCATTAACTTTTTTTTTTTTTTTTTTTAGGGACGCATTAACTTGGTATATGGCTAATGGCTATACTTCACATTCATACATTGTATACTCTTATTAACCATCATACGTACGATTAACAAATTAATGACTATCGTTTCCATAATATTGGAAAGAAACGATTTGATCTCCAGTCGGGTGCTAAAGTGTTTACATGAGACATAATGAATGACTAAATGTATTGTCTTTCTTAATTGCTTCAATTAAGTATTGTTTCACATGATAATGGGCTCACAAGTTTTCGGACACGCAGTTTCAAAGACATGTTAGGATTGAGCTGACAAGTGAATCTGGATTAATTACTTGTATTTTGATTGTTAACTTTTTCAATTAAAAGAAAATACTATACTAGTGGATATGAACTTCACTGGAGGAACAAAGATACAAAAATATAAAGCACGAGGGATGTCCTAACGTATTTTGTTGCATGGGGAGATATTGACAAAGACCATCGAGTTGGGTTTTGTTAAGTATAGTAATATTTTATGTAATGATTTGACGTACGCTCTATAATTTATGTCTAATATATATTAGAAAATTCATGGGATCGTATCTTGTCATATAATACATATCAAATAATTGTAAAGTAATGTGTATTATTTTTGTTAAATAACATATAACGAAAGTTTAAATAAATTCAAACCTATATAAAATCCATATATCTGTCAATCAAGGAACTTGTGTAATGTAGTTAATAAAATATGCTAATTAGTTGTTGTTGTCGACGTATCACGTATGAATGGTTTGCATTTGAAGCTTGATATCTCACAGCATACGTGTTTGATTCTCAACCTCACTTTTTTCGTCCAACAAAAAGAAAAATGATCATTGGATGAATCATGTGATTAGTAATTTTTTATCTTATCATTACAAAGATTCACCACTAGTACGACTGCAAATATCTAAAATTAATTATACCAAAACGGTATGGGTCACCAATCTATTATGTATTACGAACACTTTTTTTTCTGTTTAAGTTTTTTTTTTCCGTTTTATGTCACCAATCCAATTTATTACTTCCTAACACTTTTTCTCCATTGACAAAAAAAAAACAAATGGGGATTCAAACTAACTCGTCTTAATTACATTTTTTTTTTACTTTTAAAAGCTCTAAAAGATCGAGTCAAAGTTTTTGTTGTTGTGATAAGGTAATGCTCCGCTGATCATTCGTACAGTAGTTTCATTTAGTTTGTATCCTTCCAAATATTGGAAATTTGGAATCCAAATTTGGTTTATGTATTATATATGTTTGATATTAAAATATTAGGTGGCTTTCTCTTAAACCTACAATGATTTTTGTTGTGGGAATGTGTGTGTTTGTTGTTACAGTTACTCGCTTTCAAGCTACGAGCCACAACTTGGAAATGTTTATGCATTTAGAGGTTAACACAGAGGTTTATCAATTTACTGTTGGTGATAAGTTCACACTCTCTTGTTTGATCTGTTTTGGGTATATACACACTCTCTTGACCTCGATGGCTGTTCTTAGCTGTTTTGTTTCTGTTTTTGATTTTATCCTTGTCCATATGTGATGAATTGGTTTTACAGGATGCGTTTTATGCAATGGTGATGTGCCGTGTTGTAGTCAACTGGAGTTGGAGGAATCAAGATTGTGAATACGCCTTGGTGAATATATGTATCTTTAGAAGTTTCTAAGTAGAAAAAAATTGTGATATGTATTATTGTTCTTCATTAAATACAAATCCTTTTGGTCTCTTAATAAAAATTATTATTATTATTATTATTGATTGTTTTGGGTGTTTGTAAATTAAATTAGAGCTCCTATTAATAAAAATCAAAATGCAAAATTCAAATCCACATATTATGAATAATAGATTTGATAACAAAATTGAAATGTTATTGTAGAGTATACGATAGCAGAGATAAATCCGCTATTAATATTTTAATTTAGATAGCACATACAAAAAGCGCTATCTAAAGTCGCTGACCTATTGTCGAGGTCGATGATATAGCTAAATACGCTACGCTTGCGATAAATAGCGTTTTTTGGACGCTATCAATGCTTGATTTTCTTGTAGTGTAACTAAATGTCAAATGTATACTTGGTATAATAGAGTCAATAACAAAGTCTTTAAACTTTCTTGATGTTTAGGTCTATTAAACAAAGTTGCATAAAGAGTTATATATAAAAAATAAAATAAAAAGTTGAATGTTTATTCTTCGAGCGTAATTGGACTTCTTATTCTATTGTCAAATCTTTATTGATCTTGAAGATTTGGTCATGAAAAATGCACGTTTATCATAAATTATATTTATCTATATAAAAAAAAAATGTCAGAAATTAAAAATTGTTTAAATATTTAATTCTTTTGAATATTCCACTCGGCCGCGTAAGGCGCGGATAATTCCCCTAGTATATCTTTAAAATCTTACCCAAAAAATCGAATGTAGAAAAAGAAACATCAGATTTAAGCAATATTTTAGGACCAAAATCGTTTTTTTAAGAATTTAATTAATGTCTTCTTTTTTTTTAGATTTCCTTAATAGAGTTATCCAGGATCCGAACACATTAAAACCGGATCAAAACCCGATCCAAATGAATTAAAAGCAAAAAACCCCTGCAAAAATGTAAATGTAGATATATATAAATCCCTAATTATTCTGCCACCGAAAATCCTGAACGCAATATTCTCCTTCATCACCCTCTTCGTCTACTTCTTCTTCATCAACGATTTAGGGTTTCATTTTTCAATCACAATTACGATGGATACGAGAAGGATAATCTGCAACGAGTGCGAAAACGACTCTTTTGAATTTGAAGACGGTTTTTTCTACTGTCAACGGTGCAGTGTTCAGGTTGAAGGTATAATCCAAATCGTCGCCTACGAAGATGATTTCATCGATGAAGTTGCATGGTCCATACCAACAAATGCATGGAGATCACCACCGCCAGCGTCGAGATGGACGGTAGAGATGTTGCCAAATATTACTGTTTTGATGGTGGAGAAAGGAGAGTGTGTGATATGTTTGGAGGAATGGTGCAAAGGTGATATGGAGACGGAGTTGCCATGTAAACACAAGTATCACTTGAAGTGTGTGAAGAAGTGGTTGGAGATTCACTCCACGTGTCCTCAGTGTAGATACGAGATGATGCCTCTTGAAGGTGAAGTTGGTGTTAGCGTTGATGATGATGCATGATGATGGTGAAGACTTTAGTGATTATTATGATTCTGATTGAGACGCATGTACGTGATGAATGTTTTTTTCAATTTTTGTTTTTTTTTGTTGTGTTTTGTTTTTCATTAGATAAGTGAATTTTCTTTTCATTAAGAAGCATGGTTAGGATCTATTAGAACAAATCCATAACTGAGGATCGTAATCCCTTTAAACTTAACCTAATTTACTTTCAAGTAATATTGTCCAAGATTATGGTTTTGACTTCTGAGGACTTAACTCACTGTAATTAGCAAATGCCAACAATATATAGGAGAGTTAGAAGTCTCTAGATTAAGAAACAAGAAACACAATCTATTTGAATCAATGGATCCTTCATCCTTGTGAATAATAACTGATATATATAAGAATGAAAGAAGGTTACACAATTAATGAGAACGATCCAAAGCAATGGACATATATATCTCGAATAGATAATCAATTTAAGTGATAACTCAAAATGTTTTTGTGATTCATTGATGTAAGTTAATGTGATCATCTTACTCAAACTAAGTACATGCGTCAATTAAAATGTCTTTCTCATGTAACCTTGGAAGCAACTTTCTTAATCATCTAGGTTCTTAATTACACAAATAAGGGATAAGAGAAAACTAAGAGAATCCTGGCACAATATCAATATGAAATCCTTAATTATCAAACCAAACCAAGAAGTGAGCTCAAGAACTCTGCAGGTAAATGAGAATATACCACTAAAATTAGTTACCATGCTGCTTCAGAGTTTTCCCAAACAGATAAATGAACCAGCATACAATTTTGAGGGTAAAATTAAACAAATAGAAAGTTTGAGGGGTTCTTTTGCAATTTTCCTAATATCAAAACCCCTAATTACTCTTCCGCCGCCAAATCCTAAACCCCCGAAGCAAAGTTTCGCCGACTGAAATTTGAACGCAAATTTTCTCCTCCTTCTTCGTCTACTTCTTCGTCTTCATCAATCTGATTTAGGGTTTCCTTATTCCCTCCCAAAGTTTCTTCCTTTTTCTTTCTAATCCCTTCAATTACAATGCTCTGCAGAGAGTGCGACAACGACGCCTTTGACGAAGAAGACGACGGATATTTCTACTGCAAACGATGCGGTGTTCAGGCTGAAGATCTTATCCAAACCGGCGTCGACGACGGCGATTTAATCGGTGATGGTGGAGGTACTCAGGGCGCATTGTATGACCCCAGATATCGCCGTACTATACAACAACCAATCACTCCTTCACAGCCTCGTTACACAGATGACACAATACGTTACACTGAATTTAAATCTCAGCTTAAATCTGGAATCGAGAAGAAGGATTTGTCCGGGGAAGTGAAGAGAGAGCCTGAGATTTATCTCGATAAAGAGCCAATAGAGCCTGTGGATTTTGGAGCAGAGACTTTGAGTTATGAGGATTATTACGATGAAGCAAGAGATAGATATGTTAAAGCTTTTCTTATGATGATTACTTATCAGTGTGATGCTTTGGTTGACAAGTTTAATGTCACTCCTTTGATTATTGGTTTGGTTGGACCTATCTCTTTACGTTACGTGGCTCTCTCTGGCGTCTATGATGATGATTGGGCCGATAAAGCCATTCGTGATTCCGAGCTTCAATCAGAAGATGGTAGAAATCTATTGAAATTTGTTGGTTTCATTCATACTTGATGTTGTCGTCTCTATTGTTTGGTGTGATTCTGTTTGTTTGTAATTCTCAATCTTTTTGGTGTCTTGCAGGTGAAATAAAAGATGCTAAGAGGCCTAAAACACAGAAAGCCGAGCCTCGTAACTTAGATGGTAAAAGAGCAGTGACGATATGGGTTAGTCTGCTTAAAAAGACTCTGCCTTTATCGAGTTCTTTGGCGATATCTTTTCTTGCTTGTCACCACGCGGGAGCACCTGTTTTACCTACGGATATTGTGAGATGGGCACGAGAAGGAAAGCTTCCGTATTTGTCTTGTTTTCTCGATATTCGAGAGAAAATGGGAGAGCGATCAGCTGCTTGTCCGGTGAAAGTAAGCATAATGTCTAGGCCTTTTCAGATTATTTCTGCTCAGATGTTGGAAACACGAGCCGCTGTGATTGCTGATATTATTGGTTTGCCTTTGGCTCCTGTGAATTTCTATGGTATAGTGTCAAACTATATAAAGCGGTTATCTATTCCCGAGGATAAGATTCTTGATTTGGTGCGTCTTATACAGAACTGGTCACTGCCTCCAGAATTATATCTATCGAAGAACGAGCTGAGGCTTCCTACCCGTGTGTGTGTCATGTCTATTCTTATTGTAGCTATACGGATGCTTTATAACATAAATGGTTTGGGTGTGTGGGAACGGAGTTTGGGGTTTGTTAATGCTAGTGAGGCGGATATCGATTCTGAAGAGTTTGATTCTCCAGTTCATGATAAGGAGGTTTCAGATACAAATTCAGGTACTGCAGAGTTGTCAAATGTCACGAAAGCAACCAAATTCGATACCAAGGAGCTTCTGAAGAACCTTGAAGCTAAATATTATGAGGTCGCTGCAGAAACCCTTGAATCCGAGAAGGATCTGCTGTCATATCTATCGCTCGGGAAAAACGAGTTCTTTGCTGGTTTGGAAGAAGATTTACCTGACGATACATACAGAACTGTTGATAACCTGTGGAATGGTTATCCAAAAGAGGAGGTAATATTATGCTTCAAATTCTTATTAGGATAATCTGAAGCACTTAGTTCTGCAGAGGTTGAATACGAACTGTCTCTTTTACATGTATTTTGTAGGATTTCGAACGGTGTAGGACTCCACCCAAGAGGGGGAGAGACTGGGATGATGATGTATCACTTAACCAACTTTCATTAGAAGATAGCAAATTTAGCGATGGAAACAATCCTTGTAGTAGCCCTTCAAGGAGAAACGAAAGTGTATCAATGGATCGGGATTTATCTTCTTCAGAACACGGAGAATCATCATCACCAGAGAATCATCATCATCAAGAAGAGAAATTAAAGGAAAGAGCGATAAAAAGACTAATAACAGACATGGGAGATAACTTGTTCTGTTACTTACCACCTCGTGTGAAGGTAAAGAGACTAGATTATCTACAATATGTGAGGAAAAAAGAAGATGGAGCATTGCTATACGCGGCTCACGCAGATTACTACATTCTTTTGCGGGTTTGTGCTAAGGTAGCTGAGATTGATGTGAGGAATATGCATAGAGGTGTGTTGAGCTTTGAGAGGAGATTGGCTTGGATTGAGAAAAGGATAGATCAGGTTTTGCATCTACCTCCACCTTTTATGACATGTGACCACTGTTGTGATGGTGGGAATGCTGGAGAAGATCAAGATGATTCATAGTTTCATACACTAACACACTTTGTTTATAAATTTTTGTTGTAATATGTTCATAGTATTTTCTGTAATCTTGTAAATCGAATTAAGCCAAATTATTTATAATTAATCGTTTCTTGTGCTCTTCCTTAAGTTTCTATTTATGGAAAATACACTCAAATTTCAAGACTATTTGAATTTGAAAAGAAATAAAACATAATATACAAATTTGTTCAAAAGCTATTGACAATTTTGGCTACAGGTAAAAAATGAAGGAACTCATTTGGAATAAAATATAACATTCCAAGAACTCAAATGATTTCAATCATTTACTCATACAATATTCTAAATTTACAGACATCAAACTCTTCATTCGATTTCCCTCGTACCTTGTAATGGCTCCATAGTTATGACATTAGATTAGAATTCAGACAGGATCGTCATGCTGTTGTTGTGTAGATGTAGTCGCATGAGCCATGGGGGATGATGATATTCCCGGTGATACCGTGAAGTGAACTGTTCTAGGCTGCCCTGACTGAAGCACCAATGCAAACTGTGTAGCCAAAGCTGCAGCTTCCTGTTCAATCGGGTTCCATTAAGTCGATACCAGTGATTCAGTTTGATTCACACGAAAGTGAGAAAAAAATAAAGATTGTCCGGAAAAATCCTTGCATGAGTTCTTATACTAACCTGTCTTTGTCTTCGGCGCTGTAGAATACTGATGGCCCAAGCCATGATATAGCATGGAAGAAGAAAACCAGCAGCTCGGAGCAAGACAAGCTACAATAAGAATCAGACAATTTTGTGGTTTTTTGGTGTTAGAACTTACATGTAACTTCCAATTTTGTAAGCATGAATTGCATGAGACAAAAAAGAAAAAGTAAAAAAGGAAGAAGCTTCAATCAGCTTACAGATAGTATGGAAGATGGGTCGTCTTCTTCTCCATCAGCATCATCTGTTATGGTCAGTGCGTGTCGTAAGAGAAGAAGAGCCATTAACTGTGAAAAAGAAAAGTGTGTTTGGGGTTATCACAAGCGAGGGCTTACTATTAGAAGCTTAACAGAAATCTGTCAAGAAGCTTTAAGGCTTACTATTAGAGCAGCTGAGCGACAAAATGCGGCCCCGCTTGCACTTGAAGCTGTATATTCAACATATTCAGACTCTAAATACCGACGTTCAGCTTCAGCAATAGCAAGGAGACGAGGATCATGCACATCCAAACCTGAGATTGTCCATCCTCCACTGCAACGCACATGCTACAGTCAGAAACAAATATAACCAACCTCAAATAAAATTCTGAGCAACAGAAACATGAAATTAACCATACCCAATGTCAATAGTTGTTTCTTCAGGCTGAAGTGGAGGTGGTGGAGCTGTATATCCAGGTTGGTAAGACTAGTAAGAGAAGTTAAAGACCATCAGATATTGATAAACCCCTATCAGAGTTACATTGAAAATTCTACAATCCTAAAGATTACAACAAATTGGTAACATACCTGATGACAAATCTCGCATATAATGTTTCCCTTTTCATTGCACCAACGCTGAACACATTTTCTATGAGCATACTGGTAACAAACATAACAAAAAATTCATCACCAATCCATTATTCTAGAACAAAGCCATTGTTCAATTTCAGTTACATTTTAACAAATTCATCATCATCACAAGAACATCAATATAATAATAAACCAAATGGTTTAAGAATTAGATGATGATGAAAACTAACCTTTAAGCTGCCACTGCAAGCACAAGGACTCTCAAGATTCTCAACAGGAGACTCATCAGAACAAATACGACATTCCGCAGAGACAATAAGCGGTTCATTCTCATCATCATCATCAGATATATCAATCGCCTTCTCATTAACCACCGGCGACTCTGATCTCATCTCCTCAACCTCCGCATTAACCGGAGACAAAGGCACCGGACGCATCAATCCATCCACATTTACCACCATATGACTGCTGCTGCTACTCTCAGTTAATAAACCTATCATTTTCCTCCAAACTATTCCACCAAAGTCAAACAATAAAACCCTAACGAAATCAGAACCATATGAAATCTAATCGAATCGATCGGGCATAATCGGAACCACATAAGATCAAATGGATAAAATCGGAGATAGGAATCAGAAAAGAACGATTCGAAGCTCGGATTAAAGATAGAGAATCGAAGAAAATCATCAATACCTGTAGAAATGTTGTTTATAGCGTTATCGTCTCTGATTTAGGAGGAGAGAATCTGGAGAAAGAATAACCAGAGAGAGAGAGAGAGAGACGAGAAGAACTTTTTTGGTGAGAGCTCTCCCAGAAAAGTTTCTGAGGCAGATGGAAACTTTTTCACAAGATTTTCCCGCAAATCGAGCTATATAGAAAATTCGCTTTTTATAGCGGAATAAAAGAATAAAATGAAAAATAACGACGTGTGAGAAAAAGTTAATGGCCGTTGACCAAAGCAATGTTGTAATTACACAGATTTTAAAGGGTATTTACGGTATTGTAAAGACTTTGCCGCGCTGTAACGTTAACGACGTGTTCCTTGTAGGATAAACATTCATTTTATTTAATCTTTTGATTACAATAATGATGTACAAAAAAAAATTCATGTTTGTCATGATGATTGGGCAATGCATGATCTTGTTGTTCAATGACAAACCCGGGCATAATTATTGAATATATTTAAGCTTAATTATAATTTGATATTCAAAGTGGGAGGATAATTGTCTTATAAGATAAAATTCTAGTCACATAATAATATCATGCACTTTGTTGCATCTTGCATGACTATGGAAATCAGGAAGTAGCTTACGAGTTACGACGACTATGGAAGTAAACCTTTATCAACCAAAAAACTTACAGAGATTTTTCTTATAATAAGTTAAATTACAACTAGGAGACAATGATTTTTTTAGTCAAACGAATAAAGATTAGTTGAGACAAGTACACATTGAAAAGTATTTTGATACTCATAAACAGACGATTAAATTACTACATCAACATCTAAGAAGATTATTGAAGAAGACTTGAATGATTCCAAAAGTAGACGTATCATTTTTTATAAAAATAAAACTATATTATCGAAGTTAAATTATATTTTGACCATACAAGTGTTAATAATCTAAACAGGACTTCATTGCGGACCCTTCTAAAACATAGAAATTACGCATAAACCCCCACACAATATATGAATTTACGCACCTACCCCCATGATCCCCAGCAAAATGGAAATTGCTAAGCCGTTGATATCACTCAGATGCTGGCTTACTTTACCTCCACTCCACTAGAGAAGAAACTTTCACAATCAAAAGCTTTTTGAGAGGCAAGAATCTTGCGCAAAACCGGTTTAAACCAAGATCATCTAATCCGAGTGACTATGTACCGACCTTTCTCAAGGTCGTAAATCGTTTTCAGCTGCGGTTTTCTCCACTTAGTTACCAAATATACCAAAGCTGTCATAAGGATCGGTATCCCGATGAGATAGTGAAGCAGCTTCGAGTCGTTACTGAACAGAGCATGGAACCAATGGAGATTACCAGAGGCTGCATGTTGAGAGGTCTCTGTTGCAGTCTGTAGAATGAATGCACCTAAGGCCCAATCGAGCGGTATATCACCTGCCTGATTCGCATATCCGATTCTGCCCAAAGAAAAGGGTTTTTGATTGATTGAATCAATCATGTTTACAAGAATTTTAAACCATTAATCTAAGTATTTGGTTAGGGTTCTTGAATTTTACCAACATACCTTTCATCATCAAGAGGAATGCCTAGGGTATCGTGAAGCAATGACACAATATATGCAGATGAGAAACAATACCGAAGAAGATCCTCTTCGTCGAGTGATGGGTCTTTTACTCTCAACTTCGACCAATCTTCTCCACAGAATCTCTCTCCGGCTGAAATCATATTAGAAAGCCACGCCTTTTCTCCCAACCCAAAGAACTGGTATATGATACAAAGACCATGTTTATAACATTCTCCAGAAATAGCAGGGACATTGTGTTGTTGGACTAACTGGGTTCCTTATATATAAATTAGTAGCGTGAGAGAAAGGCGTACCTTAGAGGTGTAAAAGAAGTTTTCTGTAGCTAAAAATCTTCCTCGAAGCTTAGGCGTGAAAGTTGATCCAATAGAACAATGCTGATACGAGCATTTCTCTGCACTCAAAAGTAGACATCTGTATCTATTAGAGACAACAAAAAAACTGGCACAAAGAATGGAAATCCAGAGATATCGATTAATATTCTACCATTTCCTTCTTGCAAGATTGTTAGTGCAGCAGATCGACACTGTGAGTAATTACCCCCAGCTTGAAAAGAATCTGAGAGTCTGCTTTCTTCAGCTAAAAGTCCAGATAAATGCTTCTGTGTGTTTGCGTCGAGGTTATACCCTCTTGGAGCACAAGGGTCTGTAAATATTTTTTCCCGTGTAGGTTCCATAGCTTCAAGAAATGAAACACTATATGAGTGGGAAGGAAAATAAACATTGCTATATCGACTTGAAAACGTAATCTGAACTTTAGAAAACTTCAATCAGTAATTTGGTGATCCATCAATTATACTTATAGAATCATCAACAGCTTACCTGAATTATGGTCTCTTGAGAGAAGTGAACCCCATAACTTATCATGTGCAGCATTCTGCAACGGGAAAAAAAATTAATAGCAGCGAGGACATTGCCAAAAGATAAAATCCTTCCTTCTAAAGATTTCAGGAAGGGAAACAAAAGATCAGAAACCGTTAAAGATCCAACTGTTTGGTCAATTGGATCAAGTTTCCATTCAACAACTTTCAAAAAGGAATAACCTAACTACAGTAAGCTTCTGAACCTATTCAAACACATATACTGCTTAATAGAAAATACCTGCCCAAAATGAAGGAAGCTGTGACTGTAGAGAGTGTATGAAACATTTCCAAATGATATTGTACGTGAGAACTCAGGAGGCATTGGCTCACTAGACACAAATGTCACCTAAAAGAACATACAAACTATCATCGTCTGTTGCAGGATAGCTTTTGACTCGAGCATAAATCTGAAAGGAAAAAAACCTAAACCTGAGCAGAAGCCCCGCCAAGTTCAACAATTCCGGTTGTTTTAAGAGGATCACCACCAAGTGAACCGAGAGCAAAGTTCGCAACAACCCAAGCATATACACCTTCATCAGATCCTGCAAAGTAGTATCTAATGATTAGCGCCCCTAATTACTGATGGATTGAATCATATATTACATTCAGCTAAGCTTGTAAAACAAGAGAAACAAACTCTCAAATCAAAATCCTTCTCGTATCTAAACAACTCCCAAGATTCTAACCAAATGCAGCTGTGGATTGTTCATCGATCTAACTCTCAAATTGAACAATCGCATTATATAAAAAGACTCACTTGAACTAAAGAATACATTTTGAAAACTCACCAGAGATAACAGAAGCCCATTCATCACGAAACATGAACCCAGAAGATTTAAGAACTCTTCTAGCAACTCCCAGAATCTTTTCTTGAACAGGTAATTCAAGCAATCTCATTCCCGCCGTCGCCATTAACCTAACTTCAGTCTCCATCCACATTCCTTTCGGAATCCTCCCTTTCGCAAACTCAACCAGCTCCGTCAATGACACACTCGCTCCATCAGGATCATCAGCAAACGCCGATAAACCCGGATGCAACTTCAAACTAGCGTAATTCGATCCTCTGAATTCAAAAACCGGTTTACCCGACTCAATCCGGTACCCAAACACATGGATTCGTGTCCCTGTACTTCCACCGTCGATCACGACGCTATAACGAAGCGATCCTCTCAGATTACCACCGGAGAACAAAATTGAATAGAATAGAAAGAGAAACCCCAACACTATAGATATAGAAGCAACGGTTAACATGAGATTCGATTTCGCGTGTTTCGAATTCGATTTCGTTAGCGTGTAGCTCGATGAAGAAGACGATGCTCGGGTTCCAGAACGGATCTGGAACTTAATCGGATCCATATCGGTTTTACTTTTACTACTATCCTTCACCCTAGAACGGGCATGAGATCGTCGCATCAACAATTCAGGAACCGCCACGAGAACGAAGAACAATGAATCATAAGATCTGGAAGAATTCAAATATGGAAAAATCAAAGTAAATCAAAATTAATATTTATTTTTTCGTGAGTTTTCGAATTTTCTTCTTTTTTTTGAAGCTTTTTTTATTTAACCGAGAATACTGGAGATTGAGAGGGCCGCCGTGAACCAGCGCCGGTGAAGCTCGTCGCCGCTCTCAAGTCTCCGATGTCGTTCTCGGTGATAGAAAAAAAATAAAAAATAAAAGAGATTAAAAGCAAAATTAAATTGGAAAATAAATTGGTCGTTGTAGCGCCTTTTACGATTTTATACCTCATTATTAAATTACAACTCGGGTCGGGTTGGATCGGGCCGGGTCGGGTTATTTGTTCATTAATTTTGCAATCGGGTCATGATCCGAAACAGGCTTATCGTTATCCTCAAGATTTGTCAGTTTGAATGATGAGAAGCTCAAATTCAGAGCTTTAATGGCGATATCTTCAGCTTCACTAATATCATCATTCTCACAAGCAGAAACTTTCTCTAAGCATTCGAAAATCGACACTGTGAATCCGAATCCACCAAACCCGATTCTTCTAATTTCCAAATGCAATTCTCTAAGAGAGCTGATGCAAATTCAAGCTTACGCGATCAAATCTCATCAAGAAGATATTTCCTTCAACACTAAGCTGATAAATTTCTGCACTGAGTCCCCAACGGAGTCTTCAATGTCATACGCACGCCACTTGTTCGACGCAATGTCTGAACCAGATATCGTCATTTTTAATTCTATTGCTCGTGGGTATTCTCGCTCCACGAATCCTCGTGAGGTTCTCAATCTCTTCGTTGAGATCTTAGAAGATGATCTTTTACCTGACAACTACACTTTCCCGTCTCTTCTCAAAGCTTGTGCAGTAGAAAAGGCGTTAGAAGAAGGTAAACAGTTGCATTGTTTGTCGATGAAATTAGGGGTTGATGATAATGTATATGTTTGTCCTACGCTTATTAATATGTACACTGAGTGTGAAGATGTGGATGCTGCTCGTTGTGTGTTTGATCGGATTGTTGAGCCGTGTGTTGTTTGTTACAATGCTATGATCACGGGGTACGCGAGAAGAAACAGACCGAACGAGGCTTTATCCTTGTTCCGTGAAATGCAAGGTAAGAACTTGAAGCCGAATGAGATTACCCTTCTTAGTGTTCTGTCTTCTTGTGCTCTGTTGGGATCGTTAGATTTAGGGAAATGGATACATGAGTATGCTAAGAAACATGGTTTTTGTAAGTATGTGAAAGTAAACACAGCTTTGATCGATATGTTTGCGAAATGTGGTAGCTTGGATGATGCCGTGTCTCTATTCGACAAGATGAGGCATAAAGATACACAAGCTTGGTCAGCGATGATTGTAGCTTATGCAAATCACGGGCAAGCTGATAATTCCATGTTAATGTTTGAGAGAATGAGATCTGAAAATGTTCAGCCTGATGAGATCACGTTTCTCGGTCTGTTAAACGCTTGCAGCCACACTGGTCTAGTGGAAGAAGGGCGCAAGTATTTCTCACAGATGGTTAACGAATTCAAGATTGTTCCGAGTATTAAGCATTATGGTTCTATGGTTGATCTTCTAGGTAGAGCTGGACATTTAGAAGATGCGTATAGATTCATTGACAAACTCCCGATAAGTCCAACACCGATGTTATGGAGGATTCTCTTATCTGCTTGTAGTAGCCATAACAATTTGAAGCTAGCTGAAAAGGTTAGCGAAAGGATCTTTGAGCTAGATGATTCACACGGTGGCGATTACGTGATCTTATCAAATCTATACGCGAGAAACAAGAAATGGGAAGAAGTAAATTCTTTAAGAAAGGTAATGAAGGATCGAAAGGCGGTTAAAGTTCCCGGGTGTAGCTCGATTGAGGTGAACAATGTTGTTCATGAGTTTTTCTCAGGGGATGGTGTGAAGTCTGCAACCACAAAGCTTCACAGAGCATTAGATGAAATGGTGAAAGAGCTAAAACTTGCAGGTTATGTTCCTGATACATCAATGGTGGTTCACGCTGATATGAGTGACCAAGAGAAAGAGATTACGCTTAGGTATCACAGCGAAAAGCTTGCGATAGCATTTGGGCTATTGAATACTCCTGCGGGAACAACGATTCGGGTTGTGAAGAATCTTAGGGTGTGTAGAGATTGTCACAATGCAGCTAAGTTGATCTCTCTTATATTTGGTAGGAAAGTTGTTCTTAGAGATGTTCAAAGGTTTCATCATTTTGAAGATGGTAAATGTTCTTGTAGGGATTTTTGGTGACCAACAACAATTATTTTCCGTAGTTAAAAAACATATAACTGTATATTGTAATTTCTTATAGTTTTATGCATTGGTTCAAAAGCTGATTTGAACTGAACTAAACAAGAAAAATTGAAATTACATTGGAAACTAAAATTACGCTAACTAGAGGTTTAAAAGGCAACTCCAAATTATTAGTTCTTTGTTATTTTCAAGAAGCAATAAAGATTAAACAATTCGTTGACTAGTAAGTATGATCGACATTGTGATAAAACTTAAAACACATCACATCATTCATAACAACAAGAAGGAAAAATACAGTTCACTTATCGTCTACTTTTAAAACACTTCTTCTATGGGAGCAAAGAAAATTGTCGGCAACGACCCGGGACCAATAATATTCCATGTTTGAGTTCAAACTGAGTTATTTTATTTTGTGAAATTTTGCTAAATTAACTTAGTTATAATGTTAGTTAAGTAAATAGTAATTTGTTAAGTTGTTATCAGCAAATGAAAAAAAACTTAACTCAATTTTGGTATGTCAACACTCATTTATTTGATGAGACAAAATTATCTATCTATTTTCCATTAGCTTAATTATCATCTTATCTATTGACTATAGCTTAATGCAATTCCTTAATTTGTTAGATAAAAAAATCTTAATAAAAATAGTATCAATTATTGGATTAGATAAGTTATAATAATTGGGCTTCTTAAAAACATGTACAAATATAAAATTTATTGGGCCGTTACGAGCATACAAAACGAACCTTCTAACCAACAAGTGTGAACGTTACGACTTCAAAATTAAAAAACACAACTATGTCCACACGTAATCTCATAACTTGATCCAGATTCCAAGAAGAACAAAATTAAAAACAAATCTCGTAAATATACATACACTTCACATTAAAAAGGTATATACCATAAATCTCCCAGATTCTCTTGATGTATCTCAGTATCTGTCCATTTCATTATTACCCAAACTAGGAAACTCAAATCTCTCTGTTCACATTCTTCTGATTCTATTTCCCTTTATATATATCTTCACCCATTAACCATCTCAATCTTATAACCTCAAAATCACAATCATCTCTTACAAAAAAAAAAGTTGTTTTCATTTGAAAAGATGAAGATTCTTCTAGCATCATTGTGTGTGATCAGTCTTCTCGTTATCTTGCCTTCTGTCTTCTCTGCTTCTTCTTCCTCTGAAGATTTCGATTTCTTCTACTTCGTCCAACAAGTAACTAATCATCATTTAAGAATGTTTCTAATGATTTTTAAATCATGTTTTCTAATATTGTTTTGTGTTTTATTTAAAAAGTGGCCAGGATCATACTGTGACACACAGAAGAAGTGTTGTTATCCAACTACAGGCAAACCAGCTGCTGACTTTGGAATTCATGGTCTTTGGCCTAATTACAAAGATGGTACTTATCCATCTAACTGTGACGAGACTAAACCATTCGATAAATCAACGGTAATAAGATCAAACATTTCTGTTTTCAGGTCAAAAATATGGTATAAGATCAACATTGGTGTTTAGACTTTAGATTATAGATTAAGTTGGCTCAAAGTTTAGTTATGGAGGGTTTAAAGATTCCAAAAATGGAAAATTTTGAGACATAACCGGTTGGTTTGATTTGGTTTGGTACAGATATCAGATCTTTTAACATCAATGAAGAAGAGCTGGCCAACACTGGCTTGCCCGAGCGGTTCAGGTGAAGCGTTTTGGGAACATGAATGGGAGAAGCATGGTACTTGCTCCGAATCGGTTATTGACCAACATGAGTATTTTCAAACCGCTCTTAACCTTAAACAGAAAACCAATCTCCTTGGAGCTTTAACCAAAGCCGGTACGTTTTAATTTCAGTTACCTTTTTATTTTCCCGGTTTGTATCTCATTGGTCTAATTATTATGGGTTTATATGTGTAGGGATTAATCCGGATGGAAAATCTTACTCTTTGGAGAGCATAAGAGATTCGATAAAAGAGTCAATTGGTTTCACTCCTTGGGTTGAGTGTAACAGAGATGGTTCTGGTAATAGCCAATTGTACCAAGTCTATCTTTGTGTTGACCGGTCTGGTTCCGGTTTAATTGAATGCCCGGTTTTCCCTCATGGAAAATGTGGAGCCGAGATCGAATTCCCTTCTTTTTAATTTCACAGTCTCCTGAACCGAAACCGATCTTTTGTTCATGGAGATTGGTTTGGTCAAAGAGAGAGTATGTAATAAAATTTTATGGGTTGTTATTGGATAATGATATAGTTCAAATTCAAGAATAATTTATGTTTTTATATATATGCTTTTAATATTTCACGGTCACAACAAACTGTCTCTACGAATAAATTACCTTTTTTTTTAATTTATAAACCAGATAAATATTGAGAAATGTACCGAAAACATATTACACAAAATCTGCGTCCAATCTATTAAAACAGACTGATTATACAAAGTTAATGACTATTCAAAACAAAATTAGAATACTTGCATCACTTCTCCAAGAAGGATTGGTATGACTTATTAAATTTGTTTAAGGTCAATTAGCTCAATAACCATTTTGGATAAAAATATAAGAATATAACACCATAATTCAATGGAGATTAAGACGTATCTATACTAGTATTTTTGGATTACATTTTTAGCGGGTGGGGCAAAATACATTTAGATACAATGGGTTTCCGGCCTATTTACAAATTTTGGTTATAAACAGTTTGTTGACTTATTCTATATTTAACTAGGATATGACCCGCGGTACACCGCGGGTTAATTATTTGATTTTTTTATCTTTTTATAAACTGAAGAATTTGTTGTGTATGATATTTTTTTGTTGTACACCGCGGGTCACATGCGTTGTATATAAAAAATAAAAATTTTAAGTTGTAATTGTTTTGTTTACTGTTTAAGATTGTATAATTAAATTTTGATTTGTTAATTCTAAGATTTCACCCGTGGTATATTGTCCCGTATTAATATCAACCCAAACTCGTCCCACCATATACTCCTGTCGAGTGGAATTAAACATCATTTTGTTATTTTTTTTAATAACACTTTTATTTAAAAGACATATAATTCGAGTCAATTTAAAAGTTTACTTTCAAATGGTTTCCATAACATATATATTTTAAAATTAATATGTATTTTTGGACCAACCCGTAAAAACAATTTATAATTGTATCTTAAAATACTAAATAATTGTATTTTGATTTGTTAATTTTAGGATCTCACCCGTTTGATAGTGTCCCGTTTTAGATAATTGTAGAAATTATGAAAAGATCTGAATGACTCAATTTCGGGTCAGAATAAAAAAAAAAACGACATGATTAAATGTGCAATTTGTTCTTAAAAAAATGTTAATATAGATTACACACATATTTTTTTTTCTTCATCAATTGAGTAATATATGTCTGTTTTAAAAAATTTGAATCATAACATATGCAGAAAAAAAAACTACAACTTATTAAATATATATATTTTATAATAATTCAAAATAATATATATATATAAGATCAAATAAAAGTGAAATGAGAATCATATATTTATGTTTAAATTAGGTAGAGATGTTTTAGGAAATTAGCTCAAATTTGTTATATTAGCATTAAATTATCATATTTGATTTCCTAATCTATAAAAATTGTAAAGAATATACCATAAATAAATAGTTTAGATATAGTAATTAGTTGAGAAAATATATATAATTTAGATTTTATTAGATATTTTCGTTTTTAAATTTTACCATAATTTAAGGAAAGATCCGATTGAAGATTTCCGGGTCAAAATCAGAAAAAAAACCCGACCCGATTAGAGGAGCAAATTTGTACTTCAAAAATGTTAAGTAGATAATCTAGATATCTTGAAGATTTGATTAAGATTTAGAATTATAATTCTCCTATCATCTTTGTTTGATTTATTTTTAACTGTTTTGAATCATCATATAATACATAAAAGTAAAATCATATAATATATAAAAGTAAAAAAAAAAAAATCAATTTTTTTGTCTGCATATACTGTGATTCGAAATTTTAAAAACAGACATATATTATCCAACTGACAAAAAATGTGTGTTCAACGTTCCACATACACTAAAATATTTATATAACTAGTAACTCATTATGAATTTGTTATTCTAGAGAACAAAGAGTATTAAACATTGTGGTTTGTTGTAGATTGTATTGACAAGTTGCTATTAGGACACAATGGGGCTTTAAAAAACACGGCTGATGCGTTAAGAGTTATAGTGGAACGTGGGACTGTGCTAGAGGGAAATAGACCTTTGACATACAATATCACCAGAACTTGTTTCAAAGATGATGATTCCATCAAGAGACATTACCTAATCCACCTAAAACAAACCACAACGTTTAATACTCTTTGTTCTCTACTAAATCAAACCTAATCCGGTGAGAAGTTTAAAAACCTAATCACTAACATTGTTATTCTAGAAATAACTAGTGTGCACAGCAACTAACACCCTTTAAAAAGTATTTTGAAACTTTATTAGTATCTCATGCTCGTAATCAGCAAACTGTATGAGAAAAAACACGTGCCCTAAGAATTTCCTCTGAGAAATATGAAAAGGATTATCAATCTAAGAAATTTCTAAGAGAAATAGAGAAAAGATTATCAATCAATTCATATAAATAGGAACTCTTGGACTACTACGGTAGCAAACTCTAAATCTTTTTTTCTCTGTTCTTCATCGATGTCACTAATATCAAGATTCTACGGTACTCTTGATGAATGGTGTAATGGCTATGGAAGATTCGTGAACCAGCTATGAGGAGGTTCACTTCAATTCTTGGCTATTGTCATCGTAGTCTCCACAATCTACTTGTTTTCTTCAAACAAAATCACCAACGAAGGTGATGATAATATCTACGTCATTGGTTTACTCTACCTCGTCGACGAACCATACCATGGATATGTGTATCAGCGTATGTACACATATTGGTGGTTCTTGCAATATTTCGCCTGAAAGATGATTATGGATTTTCCGATGGCTTCTTAGCCGCAACGTACTCTCTTCTGTTCCCGATGTGTGCTACCAATTGTATGTAAGATTTACTTTGTACAAATTTTTCACTTAATGAAGGTTTCACAAAAACATTTGTTGTAGGGTTATTGCATTTTTGTTTGCGAAATCATTCATCTAACTCAAGTAGTCGAACTGTAACAAGTAAAAAAGATAAAAATATATACATATATAATAGTATATAATATGAAATATATAAAGTTTATGCGTTGACAATTTTCTTAATACAAATCAAAGCCAAAACATCAGGTTTAATGAAAATGCTTTTAAAAAAACTAGGACTCAGGACCCCCGCGATGTCGCGGGAGAATATATTTCAAAAATCGTTTAAAAAAATATCAAACGAAAAATCATAATGAATTGTAATACAGTAATTTTGATTTTTTTTAATATCAAATCAATATATATTTTACAAAAATTATGATAAAGAAAACCCTAACAAGCATATATTAAGTATATGAATATTAGAAAAACATTAATTTGTAACTAAAAACTATTCCCAAATACAAAAAGCATCAAACAATAAACCAAAGGTTACAACGGTTTGATAAATAAACCAAAATATTCAACGTCAAATAAACCAAATGTTACTATGTTAAATTAAACGGTAAAAATAATTTATTTAAATATATTTTAGTAATTAAATATTTTTAACAAAATATGATAAACTTTAACCGAGAGACGTGACCGTAGATATCAAATATACCAAAAGCTGCAACGGTTCGTCAAATATACCAACTGTTGCAATGGTTCATCAAATATACTAAAGATTACAATGGTTTGTAAAACAAAACCAAAAGTTACAATGATTCGTCAAATAATCCAAATTAATATTGCAACAGTTCAACTAAATAGTTACAATCTCATTTAAATACATTTTAATAATTAAAAATTAAGAATTAAAAATAATAATTTATGAAAGGTTACACCGACGGTAGATGATTAAATGTTATGAAGATTTTTAAAATACACTTAAAGCTGCAATTGTTCGTGAAATAAACTAAATGTTGCAATGGTTCAACTAAATGGTTGCAACCTTTTTATGAAGAGTTACAATAAAAAGATGCAACCGTATAAAACATTTACTTAAACTGCAACTTTCTCAAAAAAATAACGTAAAATATATATTTTTAGTTTAAAAAAATAAACGAAATATTGCGATATACCAAAAGTTGCAATAGTTTGTCAAGTTCGTCAAATAAACTAAAGATTACAACGGTGCGTAAAACAAAACCAAAAATTACAATGATTCGTCAAATAAACTAAATGTTGCAACGGTTCAATTAAACGGTTACAATCTCATTTAAATACATTTTGATAATTAAAAAATAAAAAATAAAGTATAATAATTTATGAAAAGATATACCGAGAGACTCGACGGTAGATAATTAAATGTAAATATACCTATATATAAAATAAACCAAAAAGGTTGCAATTGTTCGTGAAATAAACTAGATATATAAACCAAAGATTGCAATTGTTCGTAAAATATACAAAATATTGCAATGATTCGAATAAGCGGTTTCAACTGTTTATGAAGAGTTACAATAAAAAGACGCAACCGTATAAGACATTCGGAATGCAATTTATAAAAAAAAACATAACCGTAAAATATTTATTTTAGTTTATAAAAAAATTAACGAAAGGTTGCGATAAAAAGACGCAACCGTTCAGATGTACAAAAGGCATTTATTGAGATTGTTATTTATTATATATAGATTAAGCAAAAGAGAATTTATGATGTTATATATTTTAGTTTTTATTAAATCAGAATTTTCTAATGAAGATAGTAATTAGTTTGTATTCAAAAATCCACAAATATTTTTTAAAGACCCTATACGAAATATATATAGTTTTTATAATAAAACCATTTTTAAAAGAAAATTAACAATTTTTTAGCTATAAAAAACTCTCAAATTTTAATTGAAATCAGACTTTCTCATACGTACGCCAATATGAGGCCACTTTGAGATTAAAATGTGTTTTAAGATATTACCAATCCTTGTCCATCCAGGAAGTTGTAGATTGTATTGAAAAGTTGCTGTTAGGCCACAATGGGGCTTTAAGAAACATTGTTGATGCGTTAAGAGTTATGGTGGAACGTGAGACTGTTATAGAGGGAAATAGACCTTTGACATACAATATCACCAAAACTGGTTTCATAGATGATGCTTCCATCAAGAGACATTACCTTACTGAAGGGCGTATTTATTGACGGCGTGATTATGGTGATGTGGAGTTTGAAGCACACCTCATCCGTTTCCTAGAGACTTCTTTGATTTTCGTGATGGTCCGTTCATACAATAGCTTTGGAGATATCCGAGGAACTGAGATTTACATTCCCACTCTTTTGGAATTGTCCCAACTTCCCAACATGAGTCATGCTATGTTGTGCACGGGATCATACGACTTTTCTTTTGTGTTCCAAGACAGTGGAGGTCTAGAACATGGTGAAGATGATTACGTGTTTATCAGTCGAGGTCTAGGCCCGATAATCAATTTTATTGTGATGGATCTCGGATTTCATCATTAATGACAATGCTTTTATTTTTGATTTGCTTCTCGTCTAAATCAATTACTGTTGAAAACAATAATGAATATAGACTCTATTTAGCCGTCTGCCCAAAAAAAAAAAATCTCAAATTTTGAGGCCCGAATCCATGGGTTGAATGACAAAGCAACGATCACAATTGCTTTGGAGTTAAAACAGAAAATATGGCATTAAGCGGAGATTAGATTCTTATTCATTCATGAAAAAATGTGAAGTTTGTTTGATCTCTCTCACAATCTCTGTGTTGTTGTATATTTCGATTCATCTTCTGTGAAGGATCCTCTCTTATTGAGATTCTTAAATGGTGAATTTGAGGATTCCTTGTTTTATGAACATTGGATCTCTCTGAAACTTGTATTGGATTTTATCCGCATCAAAGGTATAAGAGCAAAGACGATTCTCGGCAATCGAACATGGAAACTAGAGCTCAAGCAAGAAATGAGAAGGACGTGGTAGAGAATTCGCTGGGATCACGTGTTGACAAGCTGAAGAATACAATCGCGGAACACCACACACTATCTGTAAAATTATGAAGCAAGAAACACACAACCTATTCGAATCAATGAATACTCTCAAGTCTTGTGAATTACTGAGTATAACGAAAGAAGATTCAATGATTCAATTACAGAACCAATGAGAAAAGATTCAAAGCAATGGACATAATTTGAATCGATAAAACGCAAAAGATTTCTGATTCACTCATCTAGGAATATGTGATCATCAATTTTGCAGTCAATTACCATCTTTCTCATGTAAACTTCAAAGCAACGTTCTTTCTTCATCAACTAGGTTCTTAATTACACCTTACATGATCTAACATCTTGAAACAAAAACTATATACAAGCTCATGTCTTAGCATGTCCCAAAGTACAAAACTTTTGCAATTTTCATCTCTCAAACCTCAAGTAAACAGAACAAAGAACATCAAAAAGCTTACATTGTTGTTGTCTATCATCATCTTCTTTCAGCAGACCTAAGACGAAGTTCTAAAAGCCAATTGTTAAACTGACCATCACTAACCTTCAACATCTCAGACAAAGGCATCAAAATCCCATGTTCCTTAAGCAATCTATGCCTTGGCTTTATCTTCCTCTCCAAGCTAAACGAAAAATACTGAGGGAAACGTTTCAGCTCCTTCACATCACCACGCATCTCCTCCATAAAAAACTCAACTTTAGGAACTAAATTGTTATCAACACTATAAGTCAACAACGCCGGAGATCTCACAACCATCTTCGCTACTTCTTCTCTTGTAAACCCTAACCCTTCTTCAAGATACTCAATTTTAGGAATTAGGGTTCGTTCCACATTCGATACAAGCAGAACCGTGTTCCGTGACGTAATCGTGTCGCGACCCACGAATCCTAGGGTTTTGAGAAACGTTAATGCAGGACGAAGCTGAGAATCTACAGATGAAATTAGCAATCGAGGACAACGAGAGATCGATTTGGGAATATCTTGCTCTGAAATTGAAATCTCATCGGATAAGAAGCGAAGAACTGGTAAGATTTCAGATTCAGGATCAGAAGTTAACAAATCTGGAAACATATCGAGGATACGACCAACGGCGGGTCTTGAGAGTCCGGTGGAAGAGAGAAGAGTCTCGACGGAGACAACGGAGGAGATTGGAGCAGAACGGAGAGATGGGTTTACTCGGAGAGCTTTGTGAGGATCTACGTTAAGGTCTTGAAGATAAATAAGCTTCTCTCGGAATAAAATCCCAGTATCTGAAGTTTCTCCGGCGAAACATCTAACTCTCACGGCGGAGAAACACGGCGGCGGAAAAAGAGAGCACCTTGCAATCATCATCGTCGGAGAGAAAAATAAAGTTTCAATCTTTTTAAGTGTGGATGGATAAAACAATGAAAGAAGGGTAAAAGGGTAATTTCGGTGTAACGGTCAGATGACGATGGAAACGACGTAGGTTTTGTTGAGAATGGTTTCTTCTTCTTCTGCTTCTTCCAATGGGGATCCCTATTCTCAAGCGGCTTTATCATAAGACCGGTTTTTGCGCAGAGTCTCGTGTTAACCGCAATCATCTTCTCTGTCTCCATCTCTACCTCTGGTTTTTGATTCTTCGTTTCGACGTTTCTTTCTTTCTTTCTTTCTTTCTCAAGAGGTCCTTTTTAAGATCTCGCTCATGGTTAGTATCAGCTTGGCGTTTGAATTTGCCTCTTTAGGTAAGTTTCCTTTTCTTCTTCTCTTTCCTTCTTCTTCTTCTTTACCCAACAACAGATTAAACGATTAAGGGTTTTCACAATATCTCTGTTTTTCTTCAGAAAAAGATTGAATTTTTATTGAAACCCAAAGTGATGGAATTGAAATCATGATCTGGGGGTATCATAGATTGCAGATTCTGGAAACGTTTATGTTAAAGTTTTGATTTTTGTGTTGGATTGAAGAGGAGAATGAGTTATTGATGTTTTGTGAAGAACAAGAAGAGAAAGCAAAAAAAGGATTTTTGATTTTGGTTTAATATTAGTTGGGAAATTAATTAACAGGATGGGAAGGGTAAAATTGAAGATAAAGAAGTTAGAGAACACAACTGGACGCCAATCTACATTTGCTAAAGGAAAAATGGGATCTTGAAAAAGGCTAATGAGCTATCAATTCTTTGTGACATTGATATTGTTCTTCTTATGTTTTCTCCTACTGGCAAGGCTGCAATATGTTGCGGTACACGAAGGTAATCTAATGCGTGTTGGTTCTTTTGTTGTCAACCTTGGATTGTGTTTTCTGAATGTTTATGATTGTTGATTGCTTGTGATTTTTCTTTAGTAGCATGGAAGAGGTGATTGCTAAGTTTTCTCAAGTATCACCGCAGGAAAGAACGAAAAGGTTTGTTGTTTTTCAGATTCTTATTGATATGTTTGTGTTTGTTCCGGCAATGTTTGGTCTTGTTTTACTCATTAGTTGCATTTTTTTGAAACAGGAAGTTCGAGAGTCTTGAAGTAAGTTTTTTCACACAATCAAATGAAGTCTTGTTTGATGTTGATCCTTGAGAATCCCTGATTCAAATGTTTTTCTTTCGAAAGCTCAGAACTTGAAGAAAACTTTCCAAAAGTTGGATCACGATGTAAATATACGCGAATTTATAGCCTCAAGGTATGTAGGATGTAGGGAAACAGTTTTAACAAAATCTTTTGCAAGAAACTTTATAATCTATATATGAATATTAACTTCTTGTCTTCTCTCTTGTTTGCTTTTGGTTCTTTGGTTTCAGTAATTCAACAATAGAGGTATTCACTTTAAGACTCTCTTTCCATTTCTCACGTCTATGACATTTGTCAAAACCTAAATTTTTACAAAACCGCATTTGTTCAGGACTTGAGTAATCAAGCAAGGATTCTGCAAGCTCGGATTTCTGAGATACATGGAAGATTAAGGTAAAAAGATCTTTCTAAAGATGATAATTCTTTGTTTTTCTTAATGTTTGTGCTCTGTTTCATACTTATTTGTATCATGTTCTGCAGTTATTGGACGGAACCAGATAAGATTAACAACGTTGAACACTTGGGACAGCTCGAAATTTCGATTAGGCAATCCCTTGACCAATTGCGTGCACATAAGGTATATTTTGTTTATAGCTTTTCCATTTCACTTCATCTGAGAAACAAAAAAAAAGCTCTCAAAACTTTTTTGTTGGTAGGAACATTTTGGGCAGCAGCAACACGCAATGCAAATAGAAAACGCAAACTTTGTTAAAGATTGGTCAACATGCTCGGTAATTTACTCGAATGATTCTTCTTTAATTCTCATTTGAAACAAAACAAATCGTAAACCGGCTGTGCAACTTTCAGATGCAAGATGGGATTCAGATTCCTTTAGAACAACAGCTTCAATCTATGTCATGGATTCTTAATAGCAACACCACCAACATTGTCACCGAGGAACACAATTCAATCCCGCAGAGGTTAGTGAAAACTCTCAGTCTCTCACGGAGAGAACTTTTTTTTCTTTTAATTTCGAATCATATCTTAAAACAAATCTGTCTATACTCAAAAGGGAAGTCGAGTGCTCAGCGAGTTCTTCATTTGGGAGCTATCCAGGCTACTTTGGAACAGGGAAATCTCCTGAAATTACAATTTCGGGTCAAGAAACAAGCTTTCTTGATGAACTAAACACCGGACAGCTGAAACCGCAAACAAGCTCGCAGCAGCAGTTCACTAATAATAATATCCCAGCATACAATCCCAATCTGCAGAATGATATGAATCATCACCAAACGTTGCCTCCTCCTCTTCCGCCTCCTCAGGTGTATATTCCAATGACTCAGAGAGAGTACCATATGAATGGATTCTTTGAAGGACCACCACCTGGAATTTCTGCTTACAACAACAACACCAACCAAACCAGGTTTGGTGGTTCTAGCAGCAACTCCTTGCCTTGCTCAATCTCAATGTTCGACGAATACTTGTTTTCCCAGGTAAACATCTCCAAAATCAAGAATTTTTCAGTGATTGAAGAGAGATTTTTTCTTGGTGATATGACATTAGTTTTTCCCTCTTACAGATGCATCAAAATCTAAACTTTCTCAGAGATTCCAAATGGGTTTTTCTTTCTTAAAGTGATTTGACATTTATTCTTCTTCCTTACAGATGCAGCAACCGAACTGAGAGAGATTTGATGAATGATGATAAAACATCTCACTGAAGAAACTCACCAATATTTTTTTTCAGAAACAGCAAGAAAACAAAAACTTTGCAGATTTCTGAATTGGTTCCAAGAAAAAGAACAAAAACCAGTGGTAATTCTGGTAGATTGCAACCAAACCACACACAATACATGTTCATTTTTTTCTACATCTTCAATAGATGTTTTGTGTTTACTTATTCTTTTCTATACATAATTTCTCAATCGGATGAGATTTTTGAGGTTTTCCATTTTTCTCCGGCGATAAAAGGTTAGTGTCTTTGGAGGCTGTCAAAGTAACGCCATGACAGCCAAAAGATAAGAAACTCTCTCTCCTTCCCTTCCTACAAACTCTAGCTGTATCTATTCTTTTCATTCTTTCAAATGTAAAAACAAACAAAACATGATTATTAAATTTTTTGTTTCCTTTTTGTCGTCAAAGTACACTGTTTATTAAGTGATTATACAAAAGTTTTAAGTTTACACTAGGGAAAAAACCGGGCTACGCCCGGGTGAATCAAACATTTGACAATTTAATTCAGAAATGCATTTACAAAGCTATAACACTACATTGACAACATAAGGAATCTTCCCCGCTTTTGTGTGCAATTTTGATGGCAGCCAATTTCACATCGACTTATAAGCTTTGTCAATGTAATTCTTTAGTGAAGCGGTACCATTTCTCCGACTTGAATAATCTATGGAACATAAGAAATCAATATTAGTTCTAAACTGTGGTGAAAATAAGGTTTGGAAACTCGCAGGAAAACACGAACCTACTTAGAGAAGAGAGCAGTGATGAAACCTAACAAACGTTTTCATGATGCAAGTGGGAGCAAAGCTTAATCTTGTAGGGAGTTTTCTTTCCACTAATTTAGTAATTAAATGCATAATACGCATTCCTTACTAAGAACAATTTCTTAGAATTTTAAAGTTATTAGTAAAGAACACTTACAATGTGCATTGTATCTGAAGAGATAGAGGTAGCATTCACATTTCACCATATACTAGATGAATACCCACGTTACGCGTGGGTTTGTTTTAAAAGTTGTTAATAACAAATTATTTTGATTGTTCTTGTTGCTAGTTAATCACCCGCTTTACGCCGCGGTTTTTTCCGGTTTTTTTTATTTTGATTTATTTGATGTTATATTTTGATAAATATAATTTTTAATTATCTAATCATTTACTCATACAATGAACAACTACTCTTAGTATTAAAATACATTTTCAACCAACATACTCAACAATGCATCACTCACACAATCCGTAAACAATCTTTCCTAAACCAATTTTATAGATGGTAATCTTGGGATTATAGAACCTCCAAAATTTGATGACCTTACGTACTCTTCACCCTCAGTGTCATATATAGATAAAAAAATTAAGAGAAAAACTTACTCAAACCATTAGTTAATCCACTATACTATTATCCACTCATATTTTGAGTTAATATTACAAAAATTAGCTAAAAAAACTTTGGAGTATATAAAACCAATAAAATAATTTCACGGAAAAAAAACATAAAATAACAAAATAAGTTAGTATTAGTAAAAATCAATATGTAAAATTAAATAATATATAGAATTAAATAATAAATATATTATTAACTTGTGAAATAGATTTTCAAATTCATATGGGCCATCCCTCATGGGCTATTGTGTTTTTCCCATTTGACATTTATAATTAGAAGCTGATGTGTAAAAAATAAAAGCTGACTCATATTAATGAAATGTTTTGATTGGATGGAAAGAAAGCTGATGTGGCCTCTCCAGAAGAGCCTAAAATGCTGACGTGGCGACCATATGGAGAGAGATAGCCTCCTTTCATATATATGATTATAGAGGTAGCTTTACGTATTCACCCCACGGGACATGTTGGAGTTTTTCATGACTATCTTGAAATAAGATTTTAAAGCTTAACTGACCATCAAATCACATATATATTGTATGAACGTACTTTTGTTTTCGATTATCTGCAAAAACATAGTAGTTGCAAAAATATCGTAGTCGGTAAAAGTGAAACCTCTTATTTAGAATCAAATCCTCGATTGTTAAGATCTAAGCGGAAGAAGTTCCTTTCCCGTAAGATTGGTTGATGCCATTACTCTCGTCTCTATTCTTTCAAAGAGTCGAAGAACATCACATAGGGTGAACAGAGAGACCCATGTAAAACGTGATTTCTTCGCAATATAATTGGTTTGCTAAAGCATTTACACATCAAGAGACTCAGCCAATACAACAACTGATCCTTTTGTAAGGAGTTTTAATCTGCATTTTTTGCTACGGTTTTATATTAGGGCCAACAACAACCATTCACTTTGAACTTTCGCATTCTTGACTAACAAATCAATTTCGACATTTTTAATCGAACTTCAGAAAAATACATATTCCAGAAACTCATAGAGGCATGAACATCAATACACTATGTGAATATTCATATTTACGTACCGCTTAAGCAGATGGTCTCACCAACACCCTTTGATTCCAGCTCTTGGGCTCTTTCGATTTCCAAAAATATTTAGGTAAATGCTTTACCTTAATATAATAAAAGAAAACGCAAATTCTCAATTGAATCCAGTGAATCCACGAACCTATTACCAATGATCTTAGCATTAGACCCACATCCCCACCGGAATACAAAATATTAGACTGCAAATGCTTACAACTGACCTATTTGGAGAGCTGAGAACACTAAAAACGTATGAATGATTCCAAAACTTACCTTGAACAATGTTGTATGATTCTTTTGGACCAGAACTCCAGCTTCTAGGTAGCAACCGCTCATTATATTGAACCTATAAGAGAAATGATAGAACATATACCTAGCTCCATCAAAACCAAGAAACGAACAGAGAGAACCCTAAGACATAAAAGTGCACCAGACTTGAGCATGTAACAATCGATCAGTCAAATGTTGGAGAATCAGATGTATTAAAACCTTATTTGATGGCGTCGAGAGATTTGTTGTGAGGGAGGATACTTTCATGATTTATTATCAAAGGCTTTTCATTTTCTATACTCCATACAATTTACCGACACTTGCATCAGAAATGGCGTGTCCATTGTTGGCCATGTAAATTTTCAATGATGTACATGAGCCATGGCGAGATGCGTCGTTTATGAGAATTGAGGAAGTCACAGGAAGCGAAGACTGTTGAACTAACTGAGACGTTATCACTTGGAGGTGGAAACCCTATTTTGTAGGGTAAATATTTATGCATTTGCCGAGAGAAGTTTCGAGTGTTAGATGACGTGGCAAGTTAGAAGATTATGTATAGAGAGTAGGCTGATGTGGCAACATGAGACAAAATATTGAAGAGCTGATGTGGACGCATTGAGAAGTCTCAATGAGCTTCTTTTATTAGTAAGAGATGTTACGTAGGATGAGTTAAGGAAGCTATGTTTAAGGGAGACTACATTGGATGATTCTTCTAGGAAAATCCTTCTCCTTGTTGGTAATATGTATCACCAAGAACCATCAACAGAGTCAACAGTATCTTTCACATTTGCTAATATCTTCTTTAAAAGTTTTAGGGACTGTTTATAAGTTTTACATTGTAAGCACCATTCCTTGAATGGTTGCAGCGGGGCTGAATTTGCGTACAAGACCGTTTTTTATTTACCATTCATACATTTTGGTTCGCATTTTTGTGAATAGAGAAAAATAAAACAAATTTGTCACGGATTAACAAATTGTTTATTTGAAAGAAGAAAAAAAATTGGTCTGTAATGGATAATTGTCCGTCTTAAAAACAGAACAGTACAGTCCGCAAACGGATTAATCCGCTCTGTTTATTTGTTGCAACCTTGATAAGTAATATATAAAGCTTGACATAACCTGATTTTTACATTGTAAGCACCAATCCTTGAATGGTTGCAGCGGGGCGGACTTATTTGGATACACGACCGTTTTTCATTTACCATTCATGAATTTTGGTTAGTGGTTTTGTGAATAGAGAAAATAAAAGAAACTAAAAACTTGGTCCATAGTGGATTATTGTCTGTCCTAAAAATTAGAACGGTCGAGTCCGCAAACGGTTTAATCCGCTATGTCTGTTTGTTGCAACATTATAAATTTTCAAAGAGAAACATATATTATGGATTTGGTTTGTTCTATTTCCCGGTTCTATTTCTATCACACTCTCTCTCGTCTTCTCCATTAACTAACTCCTCCAAATCAAGCCTTCTTCAAAATTTTCCGCTTAGACCAATCTTGCTTTCGCACTCCTCTGTGTGATTTCATTCTCTAATCGTAAGTTTTTTCTTTTGTGTGTTTACTAATCGAAAGTTTGTGTCAATTTCAAATCAAAGAGATTGTAGAAACTTGATCTATAGTAGATAAGTTGATTTCAGATTCGAAAATCGAAAATTAGTTCTTTGATAGATTGATGTTTAAAGGAATCGAAAACCTAATTTCATGGTTCAATCGATGTGATGTTAAAAACCCTAATTACGTTAATTTGGAATTAGGGTTTGTTTAGGAGCTCTGTGTATCAATGGAGACACAACCGCAGCAACCACCTCCTCCGGTGGCTGAGAAGCTAAATCCGAAATTGGAGAAGGAACTAAATCTGGAGTCATTGAAGACACGAGCCGTTAGCTTGGTCAAAGCCGTTTCTCGAATTCTTGAAGATTTCGACGCTTATGGTCGAACCAACACTACTCCTAAATGGTTCATCATCGAATCCAGAAATTTGATCTTCTGTGGTTTCTTTCTTGTTTATGATGAATTTTTGTAACAGGATTGGTTTTTTTTTTTACAGGCAAGATATTCTAGGGCAATATTCGATGGTAAATCTCGAGCTTTTTAACATTGTTGAAGAAGTGAAGAAAGTTTCCAATGCGTTTGTTGTGCTTCCGAAGAACGTCAATGCTATGAATGCTGGAAGTATGGTCTTTTTTGTTTTTGTTTTGGCTGATAAGTTACTGAATTGTGAATGCGATGAACTGGTTTAGCTTAGCATTTATTAGTGAATCTGCAGTTTTACCGGTTATGTTGTCTTCGAAATTACTGCCGGAGATGGAAACTGATGACAATGCCAAGAGAGAGCAGTTGCTTCAAGGTGTTCAGAGTTTGCCAATACCAATGCAAATTGAAAGGCTAAAGGTGTGTTGTGTGCATTTTTGTTGTGATTTATCATCCGTTTTTTAGGCTTATAGTGATTT